TGACACTAAAGACTCACTTCTTCTCCCTGGCCTTCTAGTCAGAGTGGAGCACGACTCCTGACATTTCCCTGTGTTTGAATTTTATATTTGCTGTTGTAATTTATTGTCTTCTGTTAGCTATTGCAAGTGTTTTTTATTGCATGTACAGCACTTTGGCTCGACCAAAAATGTAAAATGTGCTATATAAATAAAACTTGATTTGATTTGATCAACCAGAAAGACAATAAGACGGTTGTTCCCGCTGCCTTTGGTTATTATCCTTTAAAAAGATTGAATGTCTGTTGAGACAAACAAACGATTTGAAGATAAGACATTGCCGTCTTGGGAAATTTGGCATTTTCACTTTTTCCTTCATGATGATTGGCTGCTTGTCCTTTTGTTTCATTGTAAATTAACATCATGTTTTTTTGACTGCTGGTTGTACTTAAAGAGATATTTGAAGATGTCACTTTGTGCTCTATGCAACAGCGACATGCTCTTTTTCTTTATTTTCTGACATTCTGTATACCAATCGATTCATCTTCTAACAAATGAATAGGTTGCAGTCAGTTGTCTCCCAAGATGAAATCCTGTCTCTGCTGATGCTTTTTGTTTGATGTGCTAATAGACAACCCACTGTCAATAAGGGCCTTTTAAAACACACCTTGCACGTGTGTAAACGGTGAACAATACAAGCTATTTATTTTGACACTGATCTTCCTAAAGGACTAAGTTAATAATCCATAACACATCAGGCTTTCACACAGGCATGATACTTGATTTATGTTATCATAAATGCCAGTACCTCCAGTGGTGAGGCCATCGCTCCGACAACAAACAGGTTGACGACAGCGATAAAGATCAAACACACTTCAGTCGTCAGGCAGTCAGATGGTTTCTGTCATGATATAAAAAACGCAGAGCAGAGGCGGACTGGCCATCTGGAAGCTTTCCTGGTGGGCCGTCGGACACCCGACCTTTCTTGCTCTGTGTTTGTCATATGCTGAGTTGACAGTGACAGACTGATTGAACAGTGTATTAATCATGACAGATGCCAAACAAATTAACATTGAATGACAGAAGACCAGACAAAAGAATATTCCCCTGACACTGACTCGACCGAACACTATATTTAAATGTATTATTTTGGTATTAGTGTTGCAGCAGCCTACTATGCTGCTTTGGCAGTTAAACGAGCAGTTTTGAGACAACCAAATGAATCCAGAACAGGATGAAAGGCCTGTGGAAAGATACAGCTAAAAAAAGGAGCGGTGGGTGTAGCAAAGACACATTGTCTCCAATAATCTAGCAGCCTTTTACGGTTAAGATACATCATTCAGCACATATTGTTTACATCCATTCGCAGTAAATCTAAATGTATTCAGCGCAGTGTCATATCTTCATATATTTTTTTCAGGATATATAGAACATGTTGCACACAAAACCATGTCCAAAGGATTTGAATTGTAATGGTGTCACTTTACACCAGCAGGCATTTATTTATTTGATCGAGCCTTTTAATTCTATCAACCTCAATACTTTGAAAGCAACTGCTGCCCACACACTGTGCCACTTGCTTAGGCGAAGAACAGAAAAAAACAACAACACATTAATTCAGAAATAACAAGTTATCCCTTAAAGCGATGATGATGAATTCAGTGTCAGGCTAAAGGCATCGTCTCTGGTGGAAAAACAGACGGATGTAACGTTTGTAGTCAAAAATATTAAGGGTTTCAGACGCATTTCTAAGCATTTCGCATGTCATCTGCAACAGAATACTGAAAGCTTTGTCTCCCACATACTGCACAGTGCATATGGTACCAATTGAACAGTTTTCAGAAACGGAAGAGAGGGAACTGCATTATCACTCGTTCTAGTGTGGTAGTTTCCATGGAGACGAGTGTAGGTGGTGTACTGTGCTGTACTCCTTCCTTGTCCTCTCCCCTCTTCTGTTGCCCACCCTCTCTGTTCTGCTATCTGCAACATCCGCGCAACTTTCATTCCTTCACATTCACTCAAATCTTATCGCCTCTTTTTTGGATTCTGCAGGATTTGCATCGTGCACATTCTCAGTTTGAATCACCTTTGCATGAAATGTATTACTTGGAATTAAGCATCCCCAAAAAATCAAGAAACTGAAAGAAAGTCTTATTTGGTTGAGACTATTTTAGGTTATTTTCTTTGTGGATTAAAACAGTTGACATGAGAATATTATTTTTGAGGTTTTTACATTATAGCTTTTTCCTTATATTCTATGATTCAGCCTCTTTCTTAAACCCCTAAATTCTTTCCTTGATTTTGTATTATTCCTTCATTTTGTTTTTTGCTGACTGTCCAAGTTCTTCTACATGCTTTGTCAATCGTTGCTTTTTGTAAAGCAGCTATTCTTTCATCAGTTGCCATGGAGATGTATGTGTTTCTCTGTGAGGGTTGAGGGAAAGTGAGGGGATGTTTCATCTCCAGTTAATGTTTTTTTGAAGATTGCATGTCCTGTCCAGTGTCCCAAGTAGGGTAGAAAATGTTTTTAAAAGGCTATTTCTGCTCACGATGTTTGACATTTTGCTCATCATTTATGCCCTCTCGATAGTGTGCTATGGAGTAAATGCCTTCAATTTAAGGTGAAATGTTCCACTTTTTTTGAGTGAGTGACATTCAGTAACATCACTGAAGTTGTTCCTCGCTGATACTTGTTTTTGCTCAGGGCAGCTTGATCACTCTTTAATCCCAATACATGAGAACCTACAATTTATATCAACAAGATAAAAGAACATGCTAAATGAAAAAATATATTCAGTGACTCCAGTGATCATTTTTTAGAAGTGTAGAGTACGAAAATGTCACTGTCTCTAAACATGACTGTGAAAACAAACAAATGCTTATCTGTTTTCTAATTTATCGCATGGTTTGTCTGTTTAGAGATCAAACCATTCAGATTAATTTAAAGGTTTATCATCATTTAGGGAAAAATGTTATCATTACTCACTTCTCAGTTTTCTATCAATCAACATCCACCAGACTCATGTTTGTGATGTCATAAATAGAGAGAAATATCTGAGTTAAACCTTCTTTAAATAGGATTTATGTAACACCCTCATTATATATGCCCACAAAATGATCTATGACAAATTCAGGATTTGACAATTAGCAATACACATTTACGTAACATGTTTACATAGCAGATATCAAAAATAAGAATGTTTTGAAGCAGAACAGTCGCTGGAGCCTCCACATTTCTGCACCTCTATGGACAGTTTTTCTTGGACTCTCTGTCTGGACTGGATTTTTTTCAGTCAGTGTAAAAAAAAAAGTGATAACACAATATTAAAATACCAATGAGTCACACACAGGCTTACATTTATCCTGTGTATTGGCTTAGATAATATCAATCAGTACCTTTAAGCATAGGTTCACTTTGTTAAAGTCAGTGACATGTCCATTTGTACATTGAGGGAGTTATTTTTTTATTTTTTTCCAGACATGTAAACATATGTAAGGCCACAACATCATCAGTATTCGTCGTGTGCAAAAATGTAGGGAATTTAGAGACTAACTGTAACCGAAAATACCTGAACCCTTATATTATCTTAATAGTATTATCAAAATAATAACCACGGGTTATCTCGACTGCTGTTTTTTAACAGAAAGCCTGTGTTCAAAACATACATGAGGTTTAGGCGGGTGGGACATTAACGGGATACATAGATCAGAACGCATGTACCAGGAATAACATTTATTAGCATGGATTAGTTGGATATGAGATACTCACTGGATGATTATCATGGCAAAAACTATTTACAGTAACGATATCAGTAGAAAATGAGAAAGAAAAGTCAATCAAATCCATCTTTCACTTCGCGTTTCATCTATTCTTTGGCAAATGAATGCACTTATTTGGTTGTGGGGCGTTGGGAGACAACGATAACGCTAGAAACTGAAAGAAACACTATACACTTCATAATACGTTATAATACCAAAACCAGTAAAACATATCTTGCTTTGTGGTAACGCTGTATTTCTAATGGTTACTTTGCGGCTGTTGCAAGAAAAATAAAGTAAAGTTGCTTTTGTATAACTTTCTAGAAACCCGGTCTTTCTAATTCACAAATCTGTTCCACAAACTGGACCTGATAGTACATCATGTCTCACTGTTACCTGAAGAAACACGCCCCCACCAATGCAACCCCCTTGTGTTGTTTTAAGGCAGGGCGGATATCAGTCTGAACGCCCACTAAAAGTCTGGATATCTTTGGCTTTGATCATTCTTTACGGACAGTGAACAGCAGAAACAACAATTATAACGACCAATAACTCTTTGATTGTAGGGATGTGACGTGAGCATTGTGTTAAAAAACAAAAAACTGAGCCTGTCCTTTAATCTGTTTCTGTGACGGGTTTGAATTAATTTGAGCGGCCCCTGTGCTACATCTATAAATTGCAGGATTAGTGTGCTAGGTGCATGATTCCTATGCTGACAAAATAAGGTCCTAAAACTTGTTTTTGATATTGATTAGAAACAAAAGCAAGTACTTTTATCATAGTGGTTGTACTTAATGTATACAACAACACAATTAAGTTAACACAAAGCATTTCCTGTACAGTAAACCTGGGGCCCCTGGGGATCTTGTTACCAAAAATCCGTTGCACCAAAAACCAGCTGTCTCAGAATAAGATGTTTTTCGTCCATCAGCTTTCGCATTAGTTCCCATGTGCATCATGCAGCTGCAGAGAGCACTGTCTTATTAAAACGTTGTTTACATGAAATATTACTTTTATGTTCTCGGTCTCTGTAAAAACAACAACATCTAAATATAAGTTGATGGAAGGATTCAGGTGTGCAAACTCGAGCCTTATTAGAGAGAGGAGCACCCGTACGTTTATGCGTTAGATATTAAGCCCACTCAATGGCAGGAAGTAATTTAAATTAACTTTATTATACTGCTTATCATCTTTCCCACCGTAATTATTGGTAACAGTGGGCGGTCAGCCGTCATCGCTCCGTTTCGTTTTCAAACTCCAGAGATGGTACAGCGCAGGGCGGACTCGAGCTGCCTTTGGAGGCGTGGGTTTCTGTTTCTGTCTATCTTACGCACTATCTCCGCCCTCCAGGGAGAGACTTCTCCATTTACTGACCACCTTTTTTTTCACGCACCGCCGTTAAATCAAAATTAGGTGTGACGGATTGCAAGAGAGCAAAGGACCCGGCGTCAATTTACCTCCGGATTCCCCCTCGTTAGGAATTTCTGGATTATGGGGGCGTCGTTATGCCACGCAGGGTAAACCTCAGCCGCTTTCCAAGATCAAATCACCCGAGCTAGAAGCAAGGAGCACGTTAAAAAATGTGCATGAATCAGATGATGCTGCAAATTATCAGGACTTCGCCTGTAAATACCTCTGGGATGTTTATTTGTGTGTTTTTGCGTTTTAGTGCGCGCAGTGTGCAGTAGGTTTGTGTGCTGCTCGGAGTTGGCACAGCCCACAGGCATCACCTATAATAATTATTCTCATTTTTATATCGGCGTGATTTTATGTGCAGCGTGCATTAGTAACCATGCAGAACCCGTGTCGTGTCTTTACCCTCGGTGGAGTGTTTGAAATGTAAATATAAGTGAGACATTTTGAACTAATTGGCTCTGTGGACGGTTTGACCAAAACGCGTTAGTAGGAGCTGGTATCATTCCGACAGAATACAGCGACGCAGGGGGTATTTGAAGTCACATGTGCCCAGAACAAACATTTAAGATGACAAAAACCGTCCCCAGAAGAGATTCTCTTTATTACCGAGGAAGCTGCATTGGGATCACATCTCAGTTCCTGGATTGCACTAGAGTTGGAGGACAGGGAGCCGAGGAAGAGAGGGAGGAGAAGCAGAGGAGAGCTGCCGAGCTGCACACCAGAGCTGATGGGCAAGCTTTGGCTTCAGTGATGGACTGAGCTGAAGGTGACGGGACCCCGAGTGACAGCCGGCTTCACGCGCGCCCCCCCCCCCCTCCCCCCTAAGAGCCTTCACACTTCACACAAGGCATGTATGGACACACTGCAGCATAGGTGAGAACAGCAGGAGCTGCCCACACATCGAATTGTCCTAATGATTGAAATACAACCATCTCTCACAGAGGACTACACCGGCCTTGTATTTGGAAACTCAGGTCTGCATAAACTGATTCTACCTTTGTCCCAAAAAGCAAGTACACCTGCAACCTCAGCCCCTTCCCAAGTGCCCTGAAAGCCCGCCGGATTGTGTCTGCAACCTCAGATGTAACTAAGCTATCAAGATTTCTTCTCCAGGAAGTCCTGTGATACTGGGTAAGTGTTGTGCACCTTTGGGCAGAAAGTAAAATAACATGCAGACCAAATGTTTGTGACAGCTGGCTTATGAAGGCTCAGTAATCGAGGTGTAGAAGCTGAGTATCATAATGCAAAGGCAGCTGGGTCTATACCAGCTGATAATACAGAGGTGCTGGGTTCAGGGTCATGGTGAGAAGGTTTTTTAAAGTGAAGCATTGAAGGCCAAATGACCTCCAATGACACAGTGATGAGTGAAATGATCATGACTTTATGATATCAGTGACAATTACCCCTAAAGATTAAGAACATTATTATAAACCTGAAATGAAAAATAAGCATGAAACGACAACTAAAACATGTTAACAGCACTATTTCATGCTAAATTATGAAAATAGAGAAACATAACATCAGCCTTAAGCTTTAAAACCTGTGATCATTAATAATAATAATAATAATAATAACTTGAATTTATATAGCGCCTTTCATAACCTCAAGGACGCTTTACAAAGAAACATACAAGGACAAGACATAAAACATAAACATAACAATTGTGTTAACAATTAACACAATCTGTAGGTGTGTGACAGTGTAGCCAGACTGCTTCTGTCTCTACCTTTACCTCACACTCACTTGTGTCGTACAGGGTAAATAATCAAGTGTACAGTATCTCAAGTTTAATACTGCGGTACATTTCTACCAGTATATCAATACAACCCTTGAGGGACATGAGCACATATGTAAACATAATTAGATTTGCCTCATAACTTTACATACACCTGGTGCCTTTGAAACATGTCTTTCAAGTTTTTTTCAAGGCACAGTTTGTTTTAGACCCTATTTGGAGCCCCCCCCCCCTACTTGCATTTGCTGATGGATGTTTGGTAAGACAATTTATGGAGAGTTTTCACGTAGGAGCTTCTGATTATTCATCATTATCTTTGTAGAATATGAAGTCTTAATTATCACATGCAATATTAGCATAGAACATTAAATGCTTTTCAGCGCTACTCATGGTATATTTCAGTCAATGTGAGAGCAGTATTCAGGGTTATCAAAGCACATATTTGTTAAAAGTGAATTCAAACACAACTGTAAAATACACTTCACTTGTCCTTTGGGGCAATTTGCAGAGGCACTCACATTAACATAATATGTGATTTGCGACAATTACATTTGTTATATGTAAAAATGGAAGGATAAGCTGTACACATTATGACACTATAGCCTATCATATGTAAATGCAAAAATAATGTATACCCATAATAATGATAATATTTTCTGGTGAAATCACTGCTAATATATACAATAAGAAAATATGTAAACATTTCATATTAAGTTGCATTCCGTGTCTAATTGGCACACATATGCTCTACCTCACTGCCCAAAGATGCATTTTGGATACATAATATCATTCCACAAAGTCAGCATGTGACACCCCCACTCAAATATTATTCATTAATATAATTTTGTTCAATAGAGTATTGATTATTTTCAATTGCATCCATCAACCCCTGTCTTCCTGGGGTGAAATCAGCATTCAAACCTGATTGATTGGCCGATTACATTTAGATTTCATTGATCCCTGTAGTTTGTAAATGATCCATCTCTGCACATGTAAGAGCTGGGATGTGCAAGTTAGATGTTAATGGCTGGGACCAATGCTTTAAAGCCTTGACCATTGCCATGGTAATCGATGCCAGGCAATTTTTTGTATCATTTTAGCTTTCTGAAATTATTTCACGATATTTGCCAAAAAGAGTCCCACTTTCCCTGGACAATGCACTGAGGTCTGATGTTTGGCACTGTCATTTTAGCACATATATGAGTGGAGGCCCCTATTTTTACAGTCTATTATATTTCAGTGCGGGCTCTTGAATACAGCTATAATGCAGTAGTGGAGAGAGAGAGGCCCAGTTAATGAAATGTCTGAGGCGGCACACTTGATAGAACGAGATAAGTCCGGCTTACTCTGACTCATTGCCCCTCACAGGATTTCCCTGTCCTCCTCCATATGAAATGCCTATAATATATGAACTATCTCATACATCTCCCAAAGGAATTATTTTCTTAGTTTAGCTGAAATAGCGAGGCGGGAGTCACGGACGTCTTTTAATCTATCCTTGTGGAGGATATGGACTCCTTGCGTCTCTGCCACAGTTGTCAGCTGAGAGCCTGACAGCCAGCAAAGAGCTGAATCTACTCCAACACCAAGTTTCCGTCATAATTCTGCTGCTCTTCAGCCATCTTTAAGGCAACGCATGGAGGGGGCTTTCTCTTCCTGCCAAGGACAGAAAGGCTTTGTTTGTGAGAATGTTCTCTAAAAGAAAGTAGGTACTCCTGTCAGCGAGCTCCTGTCCTGCAATCTTCTCTAATTGTTTCTTTTTGCCTTAGGCCATGAATTTATTTGCCATACTTATTTTTTCGAGCAAACCAACGGAGAGAAAACACAAGGTATTTTTACCCCTCTGGTAATTCTCCTCCATCCCGAACCTCTGTTCTCTCTTCACACAGTCTGACAACGTACTGCATCGTAATAAAACAGACCTCTCCTCATACTCACCTTCTTTTAATGCCTTGAGATCTTCCAAATGTCCTTTGACAGGTAAAATATTTATTGGTGAACTGATGACTGTTTTTAAAAATGATTTTAATCAGAGAACAATGATGAAAGATGGATTTCTAAGTAGGAATGCTCATCAATTAATCATAGTAACAGCTTGTGGGTAAGCAGCATGACATTTAGCCATAAAGGGCAGCTATGATAAGTTAAACGCTGCTTGTAATACAAGTTTATCATTTAATGTAACCTGCAGTTTTTCTATGGGGAGTGAAATTAAAAGAATGGTTAAAACATTGTTATTATTATAAAACATATTTTTCTCAAGATATAGACATGCTTGTGAGTGTGTTAACATGTTCTGCAGTAGCCCCAGGTTGTCCCTCCCATGTATTATCATTGCATTCTTTTTCACAGTGCTTTAGTTTTTATGTAAGGCAAATCCTTGCTGATGTTTGAGAAAAGCCAGAGGGCCTTTAAACAACACTTACTGCCTTTTTGAACGTTTTTTTTTCAAGAATCTCTAATGTCTCAAACATTCCACCTGCTACTTCAAAAATGGCTGGAAGTTACATTTCTCCTTGTTTGATTTAATCCAAGTTTTATTCTTCATTGTTTCTTCTTTGGTCATATTTGTCTATAATAATGCTTTCCTTTCCTTTTATTTACATGCATAACACATTTTATTTTCCTTGTGTTTATTGTTTTAAGTGACTATGGGTCTGTGAATCTTAAAAAACTAAAGGACCAACTTGTGTGTGTGTGTGCGATATAGCTGCATGGACACATCCTCAAAATCGTGGCTGCCGCATCAGAGTCAGTTTGGGTTGGTTGGTCAAGCGGAGGTTGGCTGTGGCGGACCTGGAGTTTTAACCCCAAGTGAGTCAGTCTAGAGGTCTACTTCTCTCTGCTGTCAACTGTACCTAACTCTAACGGTCTGTCGTGGTCCAGTGAGCTTTTTTCTCTGTCATGTATGTTTATAAATGTTCCCCAACCCGCTGTCTTCTCTGATATCTATTGACACCACTGTTGCAGTTGTTAAATGTAAGGTTTACCATGCACTGCGACATCTTCCTCTGCCATTGCTTCTAGTCCTTTTCAGCCTTATGAAGCTTTACAAAAGTACCTCTATATATTGAGGATTTTCTTTATCGCTCAACCCTCCTCTCAGACTCTGAGCCCTGCTTTGTCACACTCCCAGAGTTTTATTTTGACATCCTCTAGGTTTGATAGCGCCATTTGCCTTTTACTCTGGCTTTGATACTCTCCGAGTCTCCCTCCTCTCTGTGCTCATTTTACTTCCCCAGATGAAAGCAGCCATTTCTGCTCCCTACAGGGACAGGAAGAGAAATCACTGTCTGTTAGTTAGCACAGCGTGTAAAGCTGTTGTTTAATTTCACACTTTAAGACTTACGCAGGAATGTTTTTGAAGTGTTGGGAAGAAACAAACAAGATACAGTGCATATTTGACAGGGAATACATATTTAACAATCACCTCTTTTGAAAATGACAAGAAAATTCAGAAGTATCTCAGTACAGTCGGTGTTAAGAGGCTCACATTGCTGCTTGATTTAGTTTGCACAATTTTCAGCTGTTTAATTTGGCTCTGCTCATTAACAAGCACAGTAATAATGCTTCTGAATACAGTAGTAAAAATGAAGGTAGTTTGATGGAGAGCCGTGCACAAGCTGCAAACATGTTCCTATGGTAACTAGGCCACACTCCCCTTGGCTAGCTCACACACACACTCGCACACAGGCAGGCAGAGGGACGAGCAGGAGAGAGACAGGAACACACGTGATGGAGAGCAACTTCAGATGTTTTATTCTGGTTATTGTTCTTATGCCTTCCCGCAACTTGAAGGGTATTTACATTTTAAAATGTCTGCCTCTTGGCCTTGAGAAAGTGTGGTTACATCGCAGGACGTTGAAAACGTTTTCTTTTCCTCCAAAATTACCAAGCCGATCTCAGGTTCTTCCCGTGGCTCCCTCACACCCACACTGCCCTGCTTCCTCAACTCCTCCTCCACCCACCGCTGCTTCCAAATCCTGCAACTCTACCTCTTCTGTGCATTTTACATTTACCAGATTACGGTGCTGTTTCTAAATAGCACCACAGTGGCTCTGAGTCACGAGTGTCACTTGTCCCTTTTTGTGGCTCAACTTTTCTCTGCATTAAACCCAGACAGCCTTTTTTAAACATCCTTAAATGGAAAGATTATCAACATTTTAGGGCTATTATAGTTTAAATAATTGTAGGACTTGCATAACTTTATCCAACAATAGCCTCTGATGTTTATTCACCTCACATTTAGGCCTATTGCAGGACAGTAGTTCTCTAAGGCCAGCAGTGTACCTGTCTGTGTGCACAGCAACTGCAATGTCTTTTTACGTTTTTGTGAACCACCGCTCCCATTTAAACGGTGTCAAACCTCCCGGGGCGATGCTGCTGGCTTGTCAAAGAGCCATAAGGTTGATGCAGCGATGTTCAGCGTCTGTCAGTCAAGCAGGCTGATGGTTTGGGCAGCTCGCTGTTGGTGAATGGCTCCTGCACACACTATGCTGCAGTGTCTGTGGGTTTTAAATAGCTGTGGAGAAATTAGGATGGCAGCTACACTACCTTTCAATTGCCTAACAATTTTGCTGAGTTACTTTCCACCACTCCCTTTGACCCAGTGCACTTAGCATATATCTTCTTATATTTGCACTTGTAGAGTTTGCATTCAATTTAAAGAGTTGATTTAAAAACATTCAGAAATGTGCTGCTTGTGCTATATTTATACACATTCTTTATGTTCTACAGTTCGACTTAAGACCGTGTTTTTAACTTGATTGTAGCACATGATTTGATTGAAATGCAACATGCCATGATCCCAAATATGACAAACTTGCATTCATTCGACAACATTCTCCCTTCTTTTGATGGCAGCATTTGCTGTACTGTAACTACTGTGCATGATCACGGCAGCGGTAAATTAAGACATAGCTAGGATACCTGGACATAACGACTTACTCTGTGTTATGGACATATTTGAGCTGTTGGAAAAATAGCAAATACAGAGACATCATTACCATATGGTTGTTGTTGACAACAGTATTTACTACTCGGAATATGGCAATTAAGGAGGCATCCGTATGACATGAATGCGACATCTGCCCTGGCAGGCCTGTGTGTGTGTGTGTGTGAGTCACCAGAGGCTCCAGACCAGACATAATGAGATCCTGTGTGTGTGATCTGTAACGGGAAACACTGTCACCCCGAGACAAAGTGACCGACTGCACCATCAATGCTGTGGACAGTCTCTTAATTTTCTCAGAAGGGTCATCTCCCACCCTCAATGAATAAATCATAAAGAGGCCTCCCACAGGTGATGTAAAAACAAAACACCTGTCGTTGATCACAATGGCTCATTTAGTAGCATAAACAATGCAGAGTCTCCTCTCAGGAGAAATGCAAATGATGGGCAGTGAAGCTTATATTTCTCAGTTTAAATGTGTTTTTTTATTTCCTCAAGGCTGCAGAGTGGCATCAGTAAAAGCCTCCATATTGGCATCATTTGTCATCATTATCACAGTAATGCTTTCATATCCAAACCAAGCCATGACAAGCATTTATATTCAGCTGCAGTAAGAAAAGTCACTTTACTTTATAAAACAACTTAACACCATAACATTTTCGGTCTATGCTTTCCCAGGAGTATTCTCTGGTTGGTCTATGGCTAGGCTTTTCTCTGTTTCAGATATGGTTGTGTCCTCAAAATGCAAACACTTGAGGAGACAGAGTTTACCCCCCAAAATAACTTGTGGGGCCTATTAACAAAATTGAAAGATTGGTTTTCTTGATGATTATTCCCAAGGTCTTGTCGTACAAACTTGACACATTTCAATTTAAATGATACAACCTTGTTGCAGTGGCCTCCCTTTGTGCCATAAAGCGTTGCCAGGGCAGGGGGGAACCGAATCTCCCATCTTTGCTAAAAAAAAATATATATATTAGATGGGCGTTTTCAGTGTGAATATGTTTTAATATAAAACCAACTTAGAATGTTTGTGAATTTGGGACAAGCTGGTTGTCATGTTAGCATGTGGAGTTAGCCTTTATCCCAAACCACATGTGGACTCTTGTTCACCGCTTAGTAAGTTGGTGGCAGCTGGTTTACACTGAAGCAATGTAACTGATACCAGAAACAATTAATTGTTAAATGAACATGATGAAATAAAATTAATAAATGTTGATTGGTGTTGTCATAGCTTATGAACAATTTGACAATAATAATAATAATAAAGCTTTATTTATATAGCACTTTTCATACAACACATGCAGCTCAAAGTGCTTTACAAAAAGACACATCACAAGTTAAAAACAAACAATAAGAAATTCCCCTCAGATTATTTGTTAAGAACTTTAAAAGGTACATGCAGCAAAATATAAAATGTTATGTTCCTCCTTCGCGTCGAAAGGAGCCAGTTGAGGTGGTTCGGGCACCTAGTTAGGATGCCACCTGGGCGCCTCCCTAGGGAGGTGTTCCAGGCACGTCCAGCTGGGAAGAGACCAAGGGGTAGACCTAGGACCAGGTGGAGGGATTATATCTCTTCGCTGGCCTGGGAGCGCCTTGGGATCCCCCAGTCAGAGCTGGTTGATGTCGCCAGGGAAAAGAAAGTTTGGGGCTCTCTGCTGGAACTGCTACCCCCGCGACCCGACCACGGATAAGCGGGAGAAGATGGATGGATGGATGGATGTTAATAGACACAAGGAGGTAGAATGTATGATAATACCAATAACATAAAATACACAACCGAGTCGATGCAACAATATAAAATATAAAACCCCATAAAACAAAGTGAACATATAGATACAACAGAAATTAAAGAAAAAAGATTAAGACCTATAAAATAAGTAAAACAATATAAAGGCAGGTAAATATTAAAGATTAAAAGAGCATTTAAAGTGCGGGTTGCTAATCTAAAAAGACATGTCTTTAGCTGTCGTTCAAAAAAACAATAACGGCAGTATTGCTGGGGATATTGATCTCGCAAATTGCATTTGTTGCATCTAATTGTAGTTTTCGTTGTGATTTTTTCCAATCGTTTGAATGGAAAGTTAGTGTTGTTTTCATTGAGTACATGATGAATACAACAGATGGAAAACTCTTTGTATTTTAGTTCGGGATGCTTGTTCACTTATCTTGTCACTTTGTATCCGGATACTTCATCTGGTATGTCTATAGCAAAATAAAATCAATCCTGGGTAAAAATGTTAGGATTTTATTTATTATATTGAAAAGATAAAGTCTCAAAATGTGTATTAATAGAGAGATATATACCAAAGGTTGAGTATGTTTCTCCAACACCCACTCCGTCTTCCTCTTTCTGGCTTTCGCTGCCTCTGTATCACAGTTAGCTAGAGGCTGTTGCCACCCACACACTTCGTCCTGACAGCAATTTACATTCAGAATAGCCCATGTGAACACATCCATGTGTTATAATGTGTCACGTTTACTTAGAGAACCACATTGGCAATTGGCTGCTTTTGTGGCAATGGTGTTAAACATTTCCAATATGCTAAAATATTCCCCACCATGTCTGTCATTCAATGAGAAATGTCAGGATTCAGCCCCTGCAGGAGAAGCTAAATAAACTCAAATCTTCTTCAGCTGAGGCAGATAGGTCTGATCAGTTCACTCGCTGCACTGTTACCAGGAACACAGTGTTGTAAAGCTTGATACTTCGTGTCTTTCACCGTCTTTATTGTGCAGTTTTGTGCCAAATTTTTTCTACAGTTCAAGTAGAAGCCCTTGGAGTTGTTTCCATGGATACCAAACAATTAGCTTGGATTCAGAATAGATCCTGGAGAGTCGCCTATTTAGAGGCTTTGGGAGCGAGAAATCATAGGACGACAGTGTCTTTATCTTCTGTTGCAAAGGGGCGGGGGAAGTAAACCCAAAACAGCACCTTTAGCTAAATGGGGTGTATATATATATATATGTATATATATATACAGTATAAATTGCTCAAACCAATCGATCACTGAACTAGAGTAGAATGAATATGAAAATGAAACATAATCACGTTCTCAGCATTAAGAGACCAACCTGTAGATGAATCTGAAATGTTATGCCACACTTTCAAAGAAACACATGTATAGAGAGTGGTTTTGATTACACAACCAGCTTAGATAAATGCATTCATACAGTAACCAGGGTTAAAAAGAAAGTCGTCTTTGGCAAGGGGCTTGACACACCGGGTTTTTTTTTGTGTGCGAATAAATTGCGCTTCAACATATGTTTTCAAATTGTTGTCTTTAGAGTAGCCTACTTTCACATAGAATGACAATATTATACATTTAAGTTTCATTTCTCTGAGCCAACGTACCGCAAATAATGTTTTACGTTGTGGATGTAATGTAACATCATGGAGGCTCTGCTGTCCCATCAAGCCGGAAGAGCACCAAGCTTTAGAGCCAATTTGACATAGAAGCTACAATTTTACGGTCCATCACTTGATATCATTGGGCCCATAAACACTTTGTCCATAGACTTACATTGGGAAAGAGACCTCTGCAGATCAATGGAACACTTTCTAAGCGTCACATCCTCTGCAAAATGACTTGTTTCACTATCAGATATGACTTTTTGTCCAATAGGCAATGAATAGAAAATAAAAGCAAGTTCAAATTATTTTATCTCCATTCAAGTCACCGGACAACTGAACAAAAAATGAATTCAACACGGCCGGGAAATGCTCTAGTGCACTTGGTTTATGGGCCTTAATGGAATTCACTGAGTTCACTGGGTAGCACTTGCATAATATTTATATTCACCTCTCGCACATACTTGAAACATTTTCTGGGTAAGAACCATGTTTTATCCCGATATGCAAATAATTCAAAGCAAATACTGAAGCAGGTTTACTAAGTGTGCCTGAATGTAGCGAGGAAGCTAACTAGCTATGTATAAAGATGACTACCCCCTTTTTATTCCACCTCTAAACTCTGATTGCACATTTGCCACCGACGGGTACAATAGCAGACCTATTTGAATTGCTGAACAAATTGCACATGTGGGCGGCGATTCACAGGTCTGTAACCAGGCTAGGAAACAAGACAGTTTTTCAAGAGGGAGGAATTTTAATCAAAATGTCCCATAAACAAATCTTGCATTTATGTAGTTGCTTATATACTGTAGAGAGATAAGGATTGAGGAATCCTGAGGATGCTCCGGCTGAATTTTCTAGGCCAACACACAGGAAAGAAAGCCTCAGATCTGATTCGCTAGATTACTGTCTATACTTTTATCGATCCTTCATCATAATCCAGTTTGCACAAGCCCAAACGTAGACGAGGACCATAAAGTTCAGTATGACTCATTGTTAGCTCTTCCCACCATATATGATTTATATGAATATGTATTAATAAATTCAGCATTCAGCTTCCATGTCTTGTTATCAAGTGACTGCAAATCAATGCAGCCTGTTATCACAACACTGGAATAGGACACACCTCGTTCTTTTTTCAGATTATATAAATATTTCATTGAGAATTCAGCACTCTTTTATTGAAAGGTCGAATTTTCCTCAATAGCTTTCATGCCATGTGACCTAGTTACTCTATCAGTGCTTCTCAAAGTGTGGCCCGCGGACCAATGGTGGTCCGTGAGCGCCCCCTAGTGGTCCGTGAGTATATTGGTAACATTTCACATTTGAAATAAATACATTTAAAAATGTAATTTTAGAATTTTTTATCTCATCTCTTGGCAGCTTCCCATTGGTAATTAGGCATCTCAGATTTTACCAAGCAGATCTGCTCGGTTTTAGGCGGTTTGGAAAACAAAAGACATTAAGGTGAAATGAATAATGTAGAGTCGTTTCACAGTAAAAAGTCTGGACACTTGCCTCAAGGGGGGGCTGCGTCACTCCCTCAGCCCCTGTAACCTATATTTGTTTGAGTTAGTTTTAACATTTGAGTTGTATATTTTTTTGTTTTTGTTTCACGGTTCTGCCACGAGCTCACAAGACAGTTTTGGGTACGACAACGTGGGGATAACACGCACTCTCGCGGGAATATCTTCGCAATGGAACAAGCTTAAGTTTCACTTTCGATTGCATGAAATAGCCCAGATAAACACCTTAATCACACATGTTGCCACTTGTTTGTACAATTTCCAGGCGATTTGTAAAAAACGATGTGTTTTTGGATATTTGTGGAGTTAGGTGGTCCGCGAGTGTTTTTTTATTGGTTAGGTGGTCCTTGGTATGAAAAAGTTTGAGAAACACTGCTCTAAATCAATGCAGCATACTGGAAAAGTAGCACACACCTGTTTTCTTTTTTATATTTTAACAATTTACTTGGAATTTTATTAATTTTTATATATACTTCTCACAGGTTTTCGACTGGCCTTGGAAACATAATTGTTTCTCATGGAAAGGTCGATGAATAGCGTCTGACAGTCACAATGTTGTTCTTTGTGTTTTTTGGAGGCTGTAGCTGTCTGTGCTTGTTGCTGAGCTTTACTAACACCTCTTATGCTGCACTGCTGATGTGCTGAAAGCTTATTTGTGATTATGATATGTTTGTCATGTTTTTTTAAATGCTTTGTGTGTAATGAATGAATAAGATAATGAGACTTGTCAAAATGTCTACAAATGTCCTTTAAAAACCTCATAAAGGGTGGATAATATGGTACTGTTTAGTGATATGTAAAAATGACATCAACAAATAATGCTTAAAAAACTAAGAATATAACTGCAGTTATTATACCAAGATTCATCATTATATGACGTTAAGGTGTTGAAATGCAATATTGTGTTTCATTCCCTTCGTGATTCATTTAAAAAGACATTTTGTGTAATTGTATTATCACATCATGACACTTCTTTAATATTGTTCCTGGCCTCATGCTGTTTTAAACAAAGAGTGTCAGTGCACTTTGTAAGCCTTTGTACAGTTTCATTTAAAGTGGAGGTAAAATGAATCTTTTAGCTTATTATTGTTCATTGTATTTATTTTTCACCAAATCTGGTTACAATACTACAAGTCAATGCAATTAGGCTTTGAGGTTGTCTACAATGTCTTTATATGCATTGATTGATTCCTTTTTTCTTTCTTTGCCAATAGACCAATCTCGCAGGGCAAGTTTTGCCTCTGTAAGACAGTCGAGCATGGAGACGCCTCCCAATGCCACCCCGCAGCCCTTCAGACAGCCGGTGAGTATTTAAATGTTGGTCACACTCTCCTGATGCATATGTACGCTTTCCGCTAGGAAACATATGCAACTTGGCTTTTTGGCCCAATCTGATATTACAAGGGAACAATGCCAATGTGATTTTAAAGGAAGAGTTAGCACGTTCATATATGGTTTTCATACGTTGAATTATAACTTAAATGGATGATGTTTTTCAATCCAGTTTATTCTGTCCGTTTCTTTTACTATTTACTTATTATTATTATGTATTTTCCCGTGTTGAAACTTCAGAGTTTCCTGAATCGGAGGCTGAAGGGCTCCATCAAGAGGGCCAAAAGTCAACCCAAACTGGACCGGACCAGCAGCTTCAGACAAATGATTTTGCCCCGGTTTCGAAGTGCGGACCAAGAGAGGTGTGTAGCATTTACTGTATAAAGGGTCATATATTTAAAAGTAAAACCAACCGTTTCTTAACCTCACTGTCACATGGGGTTTGGCCATTTTCACAACATAGTTTTTACTTATCATAGCAGGAAAAGTACAGGTGTACCTGTATACTATCTTTAATGATGAAGAGTTCCCTGTTTATATGGCTAACAGGGCTGATCAAATTAAACAGGGCCATTGTTAATGTTTTAGTTACCTGTGCTTCTTCAAATGTCGAAATATCTCCTGCAAAAAATAGTCTAATGCTACACTGTTGTGATGATCCCCTAACCTTTCATCAATCGTTATATACCATTTCAAGCCCTTTAGTGGATTGAATCGTTAAAAAAATGGTGTCATCATCAAGCCACTCAGCACATATATAACATAGAAGTTTTAACATATAACCTTGTCGATTTCTATTAATGTGTGGTTTGTGTGGCTGCTCCTCTTCTTATCAGTGCACAAAAGAGAAAACTATATAAAACTGTCATAAATTGAATTTGGTAAAACATCTTATATTCAGTTGTTGTTGTTAGAATAACATTAATCCGACATTGCTCATATCAATGGTATTTCTGTTTTATCTTCAGGATTCATAGCTTGCAGAGACTCTCATGACAGCTTTTTTTCCTCTTGTTTTTGTTTTCTGACGTGAGGTCACATCCCAGGAGGTTCAGGCTTGCAAAGTGACCAAAATGTTCTGCAGTTCTCACACAATCCTGTCACGACGCACATATGGGAAATGTAAAGATGTAGAGAGGCAGAACGTAACGCTGACAGCACAATTTCTTCCAGCAACGTGGGATGCACAGTAGACATTTTCAGGAATGGTGCGGATGTCCAGTGCTCAGAGAAGAGGAATGTGTCATGTAGCACAGGATATCAAACATATATTCATAAAAATGAAGCCAAGCAGAAGCCAGCTCACATTTTTAAATTTATAACATTATTAGGACTGTGTCCAGGGGAGGCAGCTCTGGATGTGGTGGTGGTAGCAATATGGTTTTGGAGTTAAAGGGACTTTGTGCCTCAGTCACCCTCTAACCACAGCCGTGGACTCGCTCCCACCGCTGCCTCAGACAGCTGCCTTCACAGCCTGCTTTGAGTTCTGCCCACACACGCTTAATTCACTCAGTACTGCTGCTAAGTTGACTTTACTATAAACCCTCGGAGTCCAACTTCACACTCTAGCTTTCCAACCCAGCTGCTCTACCTTTGCTGCCAAATTGGTTTAGCGGAGCCGTACAGCACTGCTCCTCAAACCAGACTATTGAATGCACCTCTGACCAACATAAAATCTGGCCTTAAATTAGTGCTCTGCATTTTCTGCATAATTAGCAGGTGTTTCTTCCAAGCCGCTGCTTTCTCTTTCTCTCTCATGTTCAAAGCCTGTGTTAATAACGCAGCATGCTTGCGCTGGCTTCCTGTTGCAGATATGCTCCACATTTTCATTATTTTTGAAAAATAATAACATTTGGGAAAATAGGCTGTTAAATGAGAAGATGGTCATATTTTCCCCTGATTTTTTGGGAAGAAATAGACTTTTACCCTCTTCTGCTGTGCCCCACACTGCTTCAGGCCTTCAGGTAAAAGGCTCAAGTTTCTAGGTTGTTATCTGATACCAGCGTAATGACATGAGGGATATCACTCTCTTAACCAACTCTCAAAGAAAAGGTTTTTCCTCCATTCCTTTTTTTCAATTTGCCCTCTGTCCTTGCTTTGCCAAAGAGACAGACTTGGCTCTCTTTTTTTATTTCCTTTTCCACCTCTTAATTTTCCTGATAGAGCTGCCCCCTTTAAAGGAGGTTACCCAATGATCAGGTCTAATCCTTTGAGCCCTTTTATGTCCACACTACATTATTTCTGCAGATTAGCCCCACTGACCAGCTTACCTTTATCCCCATTTACACAGTGGGCAATACCAACATTTAATTTAATTTAATTTTTATTTGTCCCGCTCATGGTACGCAAAACCAAATGTACAATAATTGCCACAAAACATGACTCTACCATTTAGCGAAAAGGAGCAGGGAGAAGAATAAAATCTTATGTGACCTGCCCCTTTCTAAAAAAAACAAATAAATACAAATAGATGGTCTGCCCTTCCTAATAATAATTTTTTTTTCACAGCCAAACATAACAGTATCTTAGGATACTAAGAGAAACACACAAAAAAATACTTATTTCCCACTTGACGGTTAACGGAAAGAAACAAAACACCACCAAAACATCACATGTATAAGGAAAAGAAAAGTGCAACACCCTCATCTGAGTCCTACTGGAGAAGAAGGTGGAAAGCGACACATGATGATAATAACAATAACAACAATAACAATGGCAATGGGACCCGCAAATACAGAGGAGACATCACATCAAAGACATCAAAAACATGAAGGACCAGAGTACATAGACTTATTCACATTCTGCTTCATATAGTCCCATCTTTCTTAATTTATACAACTTCTTTAACTGAAAAATACATATACAATTCTTTAGATCCTTGTGTTGAGAATTCCACAATTGTACACCAACTACCGAAATACACATTTGTTTAAGAGTAGTCCTTGCATATGGATGCTTAAAATTTAATTTCCTTCTGTGGTCTTCCTTGTCTGATCCAAAAACAAACAACTGTTGTAAATATGCTGGTAACATTCTGCTTTTCGCCCTGTGCATTACTGATAATGTCTGCAGCTCAGCTATGTCTTTGAGTTTCAAGAGTCCTGACTTAAAAAACAGTCTGTTGGTGTGTTCTCTTGAGTCAGCTTTATGAATTATTCTTACTGCCCTTTTCTGTAATATTATATTATTAATGGCTTTATGTTGCTCATATACGTGTTGCCACACACTTCTATACAATAAATGAAAAATGGCGAAATGAGTGAACAGTGCAACATCCTCAATGCCTTGTAATCTAGCAAATACTTTGCCTTGTTTAGAACAGAAATATTCCTAGACACTTTGGTTTTGACATGTGCTATGTGTGATTTCCATGTCAGGCTTTCATCCAGCGTCACACCTAAGAATCGAAATTCAGAAACCCTTTCAATAAAAACTCCATCAATGGACAGTGAAATGTTTTCATCTTTTTTTCTATTAGCAAAAACCATAAACTTCGTTTTATTCAAATTTAGGGTTAACTTATTTTCATCAAACCATCCTTTAAGTTTGACCATTTCATGTCCAATACACTAAAATGTTTAAGTCATCTCCTGAACAAAATAAATTTGTGTCGTCTGCAAACAACACAAATTGCAATAATGTTGACGTTTCACATATGTCATTGATGTACAAAATAAAAAGTTTAGGCCCTAAAACCGAGCCCTGCGGGACACCACATTCTATGTTCATACACTCCGATGTACTACCAGCAAATTCTACATATTGTTGTCTGTTATCTAAATAACTTTTTAACCAATCTAGAACTACTCCTCTCACTCCGTATCTATGTAATTTCGAAATTAATAGGTAATGGTCTATGGTGTCAAATGCCTTTTTTAAGTCAATAAATACACCTATTGTGTATTTCTTTCTTTCTATAGCTGTTGTAATTTCTTCTGTTATTTTCATTAAAGCTAAAGCTGTAGATCGATTTTTCCTAAATCCATATTGACTCTCACTCAATAACTTGTTTTTTTCAATAAAATTATCAAATTTTTGGACAAACAATTTCTCAAGGACCTTTGAAAATTGTGAAAGCAAGGACACTGGTCTGTAGTTGGTAAATTGGCTTTTGTCCCCTGTTTTAAAAAGTGGGATAACTTTAGCTATTTTCATGCTATCTGGGACAATACCTGTCTGAAATGAAAGATTAAAGATGTAGTTTAGCGGTTTAATTATGCAGTCAATAGTCGTTTTCACTATTGTCATGTCGATCCCATCACTATCTGTCGAAGTCTTATTTTTGCATTTGTCTACAATGGATCTAATTTCAATTTCGTTTATCTCTCCCAGAAACATTGACTGCAACACTTTACTTCCCCCAATTCCGCCATCCTCTTTTTGCCCATCGTGTTATTTTGGAATAGTCTTTGCAAGATTAGGACCGACATTTACAAAAAAAGAGTTGAATTCATGTACCACTTCATTCATGTTTTTTACAACCTTATTTTTGTCATCAATGAAGTGACTGGACAGGCCAGTGGATACAGATTTATTTCCAATAACATTATTTAAGATTTTCCATGTGCCCTTGATATCATTTTTCTTTTCTTTTAACATATTATTATAATATTCTCTTTTTGCTTGTCTCATTATAACTGTCAACTTATTTTTGATATGCCTTGTATTGCTTTTCAATTGCCTTTGTCCTAAATGTTATGAAGTCTTTATAAAGGTTATTTTTCTTCTTGCAAGCATTTTGTAAGCCCTTGGTTATCCAAGGCTTTTGATGATAAGTATCTTTATATGTACGGAGTACAGTGGGACAATGTTTGTCATACAGTGATATGTAGATTGTTAGGAAGGACTCATATGCAGCATTTACATCTTTTACATAAACCCCTCTCCACTCTTCCTTTAAGAGGTCACTCCTAAATTTGTCTTTTGCTTCAGCAGTCTTTACCCTGACATATCTACTGCGAGTCTCTTCCTTCTTTTTCTTTAATTGCCAATCATATGCTACAAATACAGGTAAATGGTCGCTTATGTCATTTATTATTAGCCCACTCTTAGCACTGTTTTCCATGACATTTGTAAATATATTGTCGATCAATGTTGCACAAGTTGATGTTATTCTACTGGGCTTAGTGATTAGGGGATAAAGCCCCCTGCTGTACAAAGCATCCAGGAAATCAGAAGTTGTTTTTTGTTTAGATACATTTAGAAGATCGATGTTAAAATCCCCACAAATAATACATGTTTTATTTTCATTTTGGCCATCCATTAATACTCCTAAACTATCTTTAAAAAGCTCTACATTTGATCCTGGTGCTCTATATGCACAAGTCACAACAACATTTCTCTTCCTTTCCATTTCAATTTCTATAGTTATGCATTCCATTAAATCATCAGTCACAATTGACATTTTTTCAACCAGTGTGCATTTTAGGACGCTGTCCACATAAAGAGCCACATCCCCTCCTCTCTTATTAGTTCTGTTGATATGGTGTAGCACGTAACCCTCAATTTGGAAATCAGTGACTTCGTCTTTATTTAGCCAAGTCTCCGATATGGCAATTACTTTGAATTTACTTTTAAATGTATGTAGGTATTCAGTGATCTTATTAAAGTTTGCATACAGACTCCTGCAGTTGAAATGTATTAAAGAAAATGTATTTTCAAGTCCAACATTGTCATTAAATTGATCATCGGTATAATATTTACACGAGTCACTTATATGATTAAACACATGATTCTCTGAATCAATATCATAAACAAAATTGTACATGTTATACTCTGTGTTGTCAAATCTGGAAAAGATTCCGAGTGGCTCAGTCATTTATGTGTTGTTATTGTTTTCCATGTACGTCTGCAAGGAGTTAACTCCCTCCACACATACCTGTTCATTCCTTTGCTCTTTCATGCCGATCAAGCGAGTCAATTAATGTCTTTACGTCCGACATCAGCTCACATCCTGGGGTTCTCCGGTTCCTGGAGCGGTGTGTCTGCCATCCTGAAGCCTGAAGAGTAGACTCCAAGTCCGGTTCTCCTGCTGGACTCTCCATGTTGACACCATACTCCAGTAGACCCTGTGCCGCATCTTGTGGGTTGTTAAACACCCTGACTTTTCCGTTTTCCTCGAATAATTTCAGTTTAGCAGGGAACAGAATGCGGGATTTGATGTTTCAAAACATCACCACATTGACTGTTTTTTAATTAATGTGCAGTTGAAATGACGAAAATGCCAGACAACTAACTGTAACACTGTAGACTAATTTCCCAATGGGCAGCATGACTCACATGAGGCGAGTCAACAGACCAAACTGCAAACAAAAGAACTGGAAATCTGGTATTCTTAGCTTTCCTATAAAACTCATTATGAAAGGATCATATCTCAAAGATCATACTGAAATTGCAGGAGTGAGGATTTCCGGGTGCCTTATTTTTGGTTTTATGAAATCCTTTCTGTATTGTTAATCTAAATACCATAACATATAATAAAAAATGGTTATGGTATAATAAAGAACCATATCTGAATCCTTCTCTCACCAGGACACGCTTGATGCAGAGCTTCAAAGAATCCCACTCCCATGAATCCCTACTTTCTCCTAGCAGTGCTGCGGAGGCTTTGGACCTCGTTTTGGACGAAGATGCCATAATCAAACCTGTCCACTCGAGCATTTTAGGACAAGAGTACTGCTTTGAGGTGTGTTGTGTAACCATTTCTACTCTCCCTGGCTTTATCTGCCTCTAATGGACCCATCTTTTCTAGACTAATTGTAGATTTCTACAGCCAACCAACCAATAAGACACTTTAAAGCCAGTTCTCAGCTCTCTGAATTTAATATATTGTTAAAAGGGATTTGTTCTAAAAGGTTTGTTTGATTAGTCTTAATTTTCTTTCATACAAAGAATTTCTCTGGTTTCAGCTTATTAAAGGTGAGAATTTACAGTTTCTCCCTGTTTGTGCGCCTGAACATCTTTCTATTATGGAAAACACAAGGAATTTGAAGAAGTTACAAGTCAATACACTTCTGATCGAATGGGACAAACTCAACAAATAGTGGAAATAGTTGTTAGCTGCGGCTATTAATATAATAATATAATAATGTAGGCACTAAATATTTTTTTTGTCTGCAGGTAACCACCAATTCAGGGACAAAATGTTTCGCCTGCCGTTCAGCTTCAGAGAGAGACAAGTGGATTGAAAATCTGCAGCGAGCTGTCAAACCAAACAAGGTAGATTCTGTATTTCATCACCAAATCCAGGTTGTAACATTGTGAACAGATGTAAATAAGGGCTGCTATAATGCAGTAACAGGACTCCTTGTTTCAATTCCAGGACAACAGCAGACGGGTGGATAATGTGCTCAAGTTGTGGATCATTGAAGCTCGAGACCTCCCGGCTAAGAAGCGCTACTATTGTGAGCTGTGTCTGGATGACATGCTGTACGCACGCACCACCAGCAAACCCCGGACCGACACCGTCTTCTGGGGCGAGCATTTTGAGTTCAACAATTTGCCTACCATTCGTAGCCTTCGTTTTCACCTCTACAAGGAAACTGACAAAAAGAGACGCAAGGTAATGTCTTCTCTAGCCTATTAACAACAGAAAATAACTGGGTACTCTTGATTTAAATAGTCCACATACATATGTTTTGTTATTTGTAACATTCAACATCGTATTAGGTGAAATTCAGCATTCAAATGATTTTGCCCTGGCTGTGGATGTGTCTATATGCATGACATTTAACATATAATCACTACTACTTTATACACTGTATTTAAAGTACACAAACTTGTAGTTAGTTAAGTGTGACCAAAAACATTAGTTAAAAAACATTTCATATTGCCACAAAATATTACAATTTATTTGTGTTTTCCTTGGCTAATCTAGGAGAAAAGCACATATCTCGGCCTTGTCAGCATCCCCATCTCCAGCATCACGGGCCGGCAGTTTGTGGAGCAGTGGTACCCGGTCATACAGTCCAGTGTCTTGGCCAAAAGCGGCGGTGTCGGGAGTACCAAAGTGATCAACGCCTCAATACGTGTCAAATCTCGCTACCAGACAATGAACATCCTCCCGATGGAGCTGTACAAGGAGTTTGCCGAGTACATCACCAACAACTACCGAACACTGTGTGCCGTCCTGGAGCCACTGCTGAGCGTGAAGAGCAAAGAGGAGGTGGCCTTCGCTCTGGTGCACATCCTGCAAAGCACAGGAAAGACAAAGGTGGGCGAATATTACTTGATTGCTGATAAAAAATCAGCAATCCCCTATAAATTGCCGCTGTTATGATCTGTAGGTTCCTTGCACTGGCTTGAATATGAACTACATTTGAATGTTACCTCTTCTCAGGAATTCCTGTCTGACATGGCCATGTGTGAGGTGGATCGATTCATGGACAGAGAGCATTTGATTTTTCGAGAGAACACGCTAGCTACAAAGGCTGTGGAAGAGTACCTCAAACTGATAGGTCACAGATACCTCAAAGATGCTATAGGTGAGTCAGCTGTTGATTAAAAAAGTGCACATCAGTGTGTATTACATCTAATGAAAGGAGTTGATGAAGCTTAAAGTGTGATTTACTTACATTTCAGCATGACAGCTTCTGTCATTTAGCACAATAGGTGATATTGTTATATGTTGAGATTGTTTCTTTCTACATAGGTGATTCATTTGTGACATTTTTTTAATTACTTGTATTTATTGTGGTGACAGAATCAAGTCTAAATGTCATATCAACAAATAAGAAATAGGCTTTAATACCATTTCTAGCACGATATAACATGAAAATGTCTTCCTTTATCCTCTCATAAAATTAAAGAAAAATAGCTTTTTAGGACTTTTATTGATGCACACAATCCAGTAGACTGTATCTGATTCAAAACAAGACATCACTTTTAAGGTATAACAAATATATGTGACGTTTATATTCTATGTTAAAGTTTAAAAAACAAAAAAACAAATTGGTACATGGACATTATTTTCTTCAAGCAGTTTCGAGCTAAACGTTTTGTATGTTTTGTATTTTGGTAAACATTAAGAATGTTTGATCTACAACCTACAGGTGACTTTATTCGAGCCTTATACGAGTCTGAGGAGAACTGTGAGGTGGATCCAATGCGCGTCCCGCCCTCAGTCCTCGCTGACCATCAAGCCAACCTTCGAATGTGCAGTGAGCTTCTACTCTGCAAGATCATCAACTCGCTTTGGTAATTTATTTTTATATGTAAACCTCAGATAACAGTAGCCTATAAGTGTTCTGTTCTTTATCTGTGTTGATTGGTGCCTGGTAGGATCTAAAACCTGAAAAAGTTAGTGTAGTGAGTTTTCAGAGCAGTGTAATACTTATTTGACCTAAAACTAAATGTTTTTATGAATGTCCTCTGAGGAGGACGTGGGGATTTGCTAACTTTTTATTTCCCCCATTTTACACAACACAAATGGAGTCCACTATGGGCCAAAACTAACACTTAGGTTCAGGGCCGGACTGGGACAATAAGTCAGGCTGGGAATTATACACCCAGCCAGGCCACTACCAGTTTTCTTTTGTGCCATTTTCCTTGATTTATTTGTCAATATTTACAGCGTTGCTGCCCATAGTGATAGCCCTAAACTTTAAATCTACTACCCCAGAATAAACATATGGACATGGGTCACTATTTAAAAAAAAATTGCAAATCTATTTAGGAACCTATCCATGTGAACATATTTTAAGTGGAGGTGGACCTCAAATCCTCTAGGTGGGTCCGGGGGCATGCTCCCCCGGTAAGATTTTTTTTTTAATGTTGGACTTAAATGCATCAATCTGGTGCACTTTGAGGGGGAAATAAAGAGACTACACCCATATGAAACAGAACTGTATACATTTAAATAATCATAAAATCATGAGAACATGGCCATAACCAATAACATACCATATCCAATATGAAAAAACACTGAAACTTGTTTATTTATTTGTTTTTGGTTCATTTATAGTTGTGAGTGTGTCTGGGCTCCTGAACCAGCCTCACCTGTCTCCCCCCTCTCCCCCTGCTCCTCTTTGAGGCAGAAGCAAAGACTAGTTTTAGCTCTCAACAAGTTTTAAAAGTGTATCTTGCCTTTTTTCACCTAGTTAACTTTTTTTAATTTATTCATGCATTTTACTAATCACCTCTCAAATGGAAATATGTGTTTACATAAATGGTGACCAAACCGTTTGAGACCCACAGAGAACTTAGACTAAGTTAACTATCTAAACACTTTACCTCACCTGAGCTGTAGTTATCAGTCTCTCAGTCTGACAGCAGAGGACTCTCCTCCACCTTGTTGACAGCTCATGATATCCGTTAGCGCAGCTAGCTAGCACCAGATGCTAACAACAATACACGTAACCGGTGCGCAAGCTTTCTCCCTCGCTCGCGCCACACATACACACACTCCCGAGCTTGAATGACACACAGAGACCAATCGAGGGCATTAGTATGATCTGTATGAAAGTGGCCATGTCGGCAGGCCACATCATGTATTGTAGACAGCCAGTCACCCTCTGTGAGGCAGAGTCAGACCCACATTTGCGCAGCGTTGCGTTCACAATACATACATACAAAACAAAAATTCCTCAGGCCAGCAGGCCACTTAACAGGCCAGGCCATCGGGAAACCTCCCGGTCCTCCCGATGGCCAGTCCGGGCCTGCTTAGGTTTCTGTAGGGTTCATGGCAGATGCAGTGGGAAAACATACATCAAGTGCCTCAAGTGTCAGATGTATCTCTGCATTTCAAAAAAGGATGGAGTACTATAAATGAGGGCTCAGTATGTGTTGCATTGAGTTGTTGTGCTCTAATGTTGTCTAAATGCAACTTGTTAAGTTAATGTTGTTTGTATACTATGCTTCGCATAACTAAGACCCAATGTCCTCTACAAAGGACACAAAATAAAACAAAATACAATTTTAGTTTTGTTAATCATTATGTTTATACCACCCTAAAGACTTGTGTGATAAAAGGAAATGTGAAACCTTTTTCTTTCTGGGTCTCAGGTTGCCTTGACATTTTTTCAAGGTATACAATTAATCTCTCAGCTTTACTTTTAGTCTTGCATTTACCATTTTTGTTTTTGCATTTTCAAAAGATTTGGCCTTTATTTGTCTCCATAGTAACAGCTTTCATCATGAAACATCTGACGTTAAAGTGCTATCATGCTATTTTTAGGCAATAGCATAGGTCTCAGATATATAAAAATTAGGGCTGTCAGTCGATTAAAATATTTAATCGCGATTAATCGCATGATTGTCCATAGTTAATCGCGATTAATCGCAAATTAATCGCACATTTTTTATCTGTTCTAAATGTACCTTAGAGGAATATTTTTCAAGTTTTTAATACTCTTATCAACATATGAGTGGACAAATATGTTTTATGCTAATGTTTATTATCATTTGAACAATGACAAATATTCTCATGAATATTAAACACAACAACCTCTGAACATTACAAATATTCGCCTCAATTCAACCTGGAACCTCTCTCATACAATACAAATTGTGTGTGTGTGTGTGTGTGTGTGTGTGTGTGTGTGTGTGTGTGTGTGTGTGTGTGTGTGTGTGTGTGTGTGTGTGTGTGTGTGTGTGTGTGTGTGTGTGTGTGTGTGTGTGTGATCGTTGGAGCTATGTGCAACTCAAGGCATATGCTCGAACGGGAGCTGCCTGGACGCTGCAATCATGTTGCACTATCCGTGCTGAGTGTGCTGACTTTTCGTACAATGCTTCCTGCATAAAGTCAAGTGCTCGGCGCAGTTGTGGCGAAATGTCGCTCCTCTGTTTTCATTTAAACAGCTCCATATCCATTAGCGCAGCTAGCTAGCACCAGATGCTAACAACAACAATGCACCTAAGGTCTCTCTCTCGCTCGCTCGGGCCACACATACACACACCCTCCCGGTCCTCCCAACAGCCAGTCGGTGCCTGCCGGTGAGCGTGGAAGTGTGGTCTGCCACAAGCGGGCGGCAGGAGCGGGGCTGTCAGTATCAGCTTGTAGATGGTATTTTAAACTCGATGCGCTCTGAAACTACGGGGCGGCCGAGGACAAAAAATACACATGCGTTAATCGCGTTAAAATAATTAGTGGCGTTAATTTTTTTTTGCGTTATTAACGCGTTAACTTGACAGCCCTAATAAAAATATATAAAATGTCTATGAAGTGTTTTACTCTAAATACCAAACAGATCACCCATTCTAGCCATGCCTCATATCCCTCTATTTCACTTCCTGTTTCAAAAGTGCTGATTTTGGGTATAAAGCTTTAAAAAAAAAAAAAAATTGATAAAAAAAGGAGGGGCCCGGCAGCTACTGTCTAAACTAAATGCTGCCGTGATGAAACGCCATATCATGGATTATCAAGGATTATTTCTGAAACAGTATGGAGCTCAAAGGCTTTCTCTCTTGCCGGTTATACCACAAGGTGAGTTCCTTTTTATTTCCTGCTTCTTCACACACATGCTCTGTGCAGTACAGGTTAGCTCTGAGTGTTAGCAATGCTAATGTAACATGCACCGACCATGTTACGTCCAAAACAGTCGGGCATTGTTTCTGATAGCAACGTTTCTGATAGGGCCATGGGCGTAAAGCCAGCCTACATTTCCGATATTACGTCATATCGGACGCAAATCTGGATCAGCTCCGTTGTACCCCCGTTTTTAGAGATTTGGGTAAGGAGGAAAAGAGAGAGGGTTTTCTTTTCTGACGCTGCGTGAGTTCCCTGACACACCGGTTGCATGATAGGTCCCCTTTAAAACAGAAATAACTATATTTGACTATGGTTTCATACTATTTAGATTTGTTTTTCCTTGTGATATTATATTATCAATAGATCATCCAGACAGTTAAAAATTAAATCATCATCATACATCCATATCCACTGGTGCTGGGTACGGTCGAGTAATTTCCCATGTATTGTAGTCTCCTGACCTTGCTGAATTCCTGACAGTTTTGAACACATTACAGGGCTTGCTCTTGCCCTTCTCCTTGACAATGGGCTAATGAAACCATCTTCTTGTTTCAGCATATTTCCCCGAGAGCTGAAGGAAGTTTTTGCCTCGTGGAGAGCCAGATGTGCCGAGCGTGGCAGAGAGGATCTGGCAGACAGCCTCATCAGCTCCTCCCTGTTTCTTCGCTTCATGTGCCCAGCCATCATGTCCCCCTCCCTATTCAACCTGATGCAGGAGTACCCCGCTGAGCGCACGTCCCGCACACTCACGCTCATAGCCAAGGTGATGCAGAACCTGGCCAGCTTCAGCAAGTGAGTCCCCGTCAACGCCTGTCCTTTAACACCAGCATACATTTGATTCAGTTCAGTTTTAGACATCGATACGGTGACGCTTGTGCGAGGTGGGATGCCTGTCACAGAGTAAATAGAGGCTTGCGGTTTTGACTGCGAGGGGATAAACTGTTACTCACCCACAGTGAGCTCCAAGGCTTTTAGCTGTGTCACATTGGTCTCTACAGTCACTGTGTGCTTCGTACTGACATTTCTCTGAATACTTAAAGTCACCTATTATGCAAAATCCACTTTTTCATGTCTTTTATACATACATATGTGTCCCCCTCTGTGTAAATAGATTCTGAAAGTTTCAGGAAAAAAGATTTGCTCACTTTTTGTATCCATTTACAAAATTCTCTCCATTTATATACAAACTGAAAATGAGCTGATCAGATTTTGGCAACTTTATGATGTCATAACGATTAAGGGCCATTTCAATTTGTACAACATCCTCCAAGGGCCGTACAACAGTGGCGAGCCGTGACTTTTATACCTAGGCCCTCTGACCCCCCTTCCCTAGAAAAAAAAGAAGAGATATTACGTCACATTGTATACTTCAGCGGAATATCTAAACAGCGGCCCGGGGTGCAAAACGCATCAATGAAACACAAAACAACAAAACTACCACACAAAACAACACCATTTATATAAACACCTATCATGACAGGCTCCCTTACTTACAGCCAAGTAACAATTGCAAATGAATTAAGTCAGCACGGCGGCCCACATTGAAAATGACTTAGGCCTACCTTTGATGATCAAATCACTTAAACACAAAGTCCATGCAGCTGATCCTTTGCCACTCCAGTTTATCATTGTAACTCAATCTTGAAAATGACTCGGTTAATAATTTCGCAACGATCACTGAAGTGAGCCATCATGAACGAACTTATGCTAATTATAAATCTATCGATCATAAATCTATCGTTTAGATTTATGATTCGAAAATAATAAAAGTAGGGTAGACATGTGGATATTATCCGGCTGAACAAAACGTGCATTTATCTAACAGGTTCGTTTTCCACAGACCTTATTTCGAGCTATTTTCCAAAATCCTATGGAGAAATGCCATTGCTTTCTGTCGAGGGAATCCGAGCGAAGCTTACTTCCGGGTTATAGGATGCGTCACTGCACCACTTGCATAGACCTCACAGCGGGCGGAACTTGTCATAAAGTCCGCGAAAATAAAGCCCGCCCATTTAGAGGGAAGATATGATTGGTCAATTGTACTGTCATTTGACATTACTCTCTCATTGAGTTACTATAGCGCAGTGGTTCTCAAACTTTTTCTGTCAGGCCCCCCCTTTGGAGAAAAAAAAAAGTCGGGCCCCCCCAACACAAATAGTCAGGCTCAGTGGCGGCGCCAGAGATTTCTTTTGGGGGTGCTGTGGGGTAGCTTGACGTTTCATAGAGGGTGCTCAAACAGCTAGAATCCACTTCAAGACACTGGTACTTGCTTACCATGCTGCGAATGGATCTGGCCCTTCGTACATCCAGGACATGGTTAAACCGTACACCCCAGCGCGTGCACTACGCTCTGCATCAGCCAAACGACTCGCTGCGCCCTCGCTGCGCCCTCGCTGCGAGGGGGACCCAAGTTCCCATCGGCGAAAACACGTGGGTTTGCTGTCCTGGCTCCAGGATGGTGGAATGAGCTCCCCATTGACATCAGGACGGCAGATAGCTTACACATCTTCCGGCGCAAACTGAAAACTCATCTCTTTCGACTCCACTTCGAGCGATAGAACTATTAACGAAGCACTTTTATACTAATAAAGGACTGGCTTATCTAAAGCCAGTTGAGTAGCACTTGAAATGTTTTTGCTCTATGAAGCCTGATGTACTTATATGATTCTGTTTTCTTCAAGTTGTATTTTGTTGGTCGAACGCATTTATTGTAAGTCGCTTTGGATAAAAGCCATAAAAGCTAAATGCAATGTAATGTAATTTAGGGTTTCCCATTAATGTACCGGTCGCTACAGTGGATTTTCTACTGCAACATTCCCCATGCAATACACAATGGTCCCGCGACTGTTACAATGAAGGCTCGATAATCAGCTCACGGCATATAGGTGTAAGCAGGGGTAAAGTGCTATTTTTATAGGTGGTGTGTGGACCTCACATAGGGGGGTCCGGGGGCAAGCTCCCCCAGAAAGATTTTTAAATATTGAAGTTAAAAGCATCAATCTGGTATCTTTGAGAGCAAAATGAAGAGATCTATGGATACATCTCTCAACATCCATTTGAAACAGAACTGTAAACAGATTTACTATTTCTTTATGGATATTTTGCAAATCACTCCCCTTTTAAACTTTATTCATTTTTTAATGTCATAGTATTTCATACTTGTTTTTAATTTATTCTCTTATTTTTTTATAACTATAATGATCATATAAACGTGTGCCTCGGAAATAATTGTTCCAACTCACCAAAACGTTTGAGACCCACTGAGATAACACTGAGTCCTTTAGCTCACTGAGTCTCTCAGTCTGACAGGAGAGGACTCTCCTCCACTTTGTTGTTGAAAAAACTCCTTATATCCGTTAGCGTAGCTCGCTAGCACCAGAAGCTAACAACAACGATCTCTCGCTCGCACACAAAATGGCTCGTTACACACACACAGCCGAGCTTTAATGAAACACACAGACGTAATAGTACTGCATCATATTATTTTCGAATCAATAATTTTTCAAAGTATGATTTTTTTTTTTAGACTTTTTTTCTCCTGGTCATGCTTTGAGAACCACTGCTATAGCGGGCCCTCTGTGAATGTAGAGAGGGACCAACAAGCCCTCCCGTATTCACATAACTCGCAGAGACGGCATTTAACCCTTCACATTCCAACAGAAACTGAACAGGCAGATTCGAAGGATTTATTTCTTTGGAAATATTATTTTAAATACAATTAAGTTATTTTGGTAAAACTAATGAAAAATGTAACATTTACATTTTTTAATGTTTTCAAATATTATTTTTTAGAATATCTTAGGCCTTCACAGAGGGCCCTGACGGCTCGCCACTGCCGTACAAATTATTGAACTCAACCTCTGCTTAAAAAAAACAAAAATCACAGCCCATTCATTTTGTCTTTCTTTCATGCTGTGCAAAGAAAAAGCAACCTCTTAATCCAGATATCTCACTGTTACATTCCCTTGTAGATCTAGGGGTACCAAGGGAAGTAGCGACACACAAGATAGCCGGACGAGAGAAAAAGGAGAGGAAACTGAATGCTGAAGGAGTTTAAGTGAGGTTTTAATTAGTAGATAAGTAAGGCGGCTCACCAGCCAAAGTACAAAACAAACTTACAATAAACAACACACAACTATGCTGGGTCTCACACAGAGACATGCTGCACACATGCAGCCATGGTTGAGAAGGAGAGAAAAGGCCTCTCACTGCCGTCCTCCTCTGGTCCTATATGGAAGCCCTGATTGTCAATTAGGAGCACCTGGGGAGAGGCTGCACCTGGGGACAATCAGAGGGAGAGAGAGGAAAACACACACACACGAACACACACACACACACTACGGCACGTAACACTTCCCCCCATAAAACCAAACCAGTGTTTGGCCACAGTTACCAACAACACTCATTACATAATTCACAAGCATACTATAGAATGCATGGAAGCTGCCACCTGCTGCTTCCAAGCCACACACTCCGCCACTAAATGACCAGGGTCAAGACAATAAAAACACAATCTCTTAGTGTCGGGACCTGGGAGAGAAACAGAATGAGCACGTGTAACACGTCTGTTACGAGCCCTACAGTGAGGATAATTGCCCTGAGGATATACTTTACCCCCGGCTATATCATTACCCATTATGACATCCACACCGTCGACAGGAAATTTGGGGAGCACAGCAACTGGAAAGAAACCAGTAGCCAGTTCAGACTGGACATGGACATTGTGAAGATGTGCGGGCACAGAACCCATTTCAATACCTCTCACCACCATATTCGCATCACAGGCAGACTCAGCACTCAGGGGCAGGGCACCGGCAAGGATGAATGACTGTGAGCCACCACTGTCTCGCAACACCGTGACCTGCCGCTGGTCCTCCACCTTTCCTGACAGAGAGACAAAGGCAGTAGAGATGAACGGTTTCAAGCACTCATCAGGCCCTTTGTTAACAGTGGCCCGTCCACTAGGACACACTGCTGTAACCAAACCCACCCCTTCTGGGCGCTTGCCATCCACTGTCTGCTTTATCTTCCAAGCTGCACAGTCTGCTATCATATGACCTGGGTCCAGACAAAAATGACAAGCTCTGTTTATCCTGGGACCTAACAATGGACCACTGGCACAGGGAACGTAATTGTCAGGAGCTCTACGATAAGTGTCCCGCTGAGGAGGATCACGCTGAAAAAAAACGCTCTTGTGTATCAGCGCAAACTTGTCTGCCATAATGGCAGCCTGCTGAAGGGTAGTCACTTTCTGCTCATTCAAATAGACTACCGTACGCTCCGGTACACAGTGTTTAAACTCCTCTAACATCATTAGCTCGCACACTGAAGCAATGTCATCAGCTTTACACTCTCTACACCACCTGTCAAAGAGGGCTTTCTTCTCCCTCGCGAAGTCCACGTACGTTTGGCCAGAAGTTTTCTTCAGGCCGCGAAAACGCTGCCTGTAGGCCTCAGGCACAAGCTCATATGCCCTGAGAATAGCACCTTTCACATTGTCATACACCAAACTATCCTCGACAGAAAGAGAAGAGCAAGCCTCTTGAGCCTTGCCGACTAGCTTACACTGTAAAAGAATAGCCCACACATCTTCTGGCCAGTGCAGAGCAGCAGCAATGCGCTCGAATGCACCAAAATAGACTTCCACCTCTGATTCCCGAAACACAGGGACCAAAGAAATGCCTGCTCACGTCAAAGGAGGCAGCAGGACCAGAAGGTGTAACTGCAGAATCACCCACCACAGCTGCTTGGAGCTCTAGCTTACGCATCCGGACAGCAGTGTCTGCCTCCAACTTCCTGATCTCCATCTCCTTCCTGAGCTGAAACTCTCGCTCACGCTCCTCCCTCTCACACTGGAGACGAGCCATACGCACTTTTACCCTGGCATCTAATTTAGACCCCGTAGGTGAGGATCCTGCTGAAAACGAGTCAAACTGATGAAGATGTTTGCCTGTTCCGTAGCACTCTGAACCACCGTGCCAGGAGATTCCACTAAAGCAGGCCGCCTCAAAACCCCCTGTTCAACTAGTCCAGTTATCAAAGTAGCCTTGAGTTCACTTTTTACCAGAGCCGAGGAGACAGAAACATGATAATGGTCAGCAACTAACCGCAAATCAACCTTCCTGCACCAGTCTAGCTGACCCACAGTAGGACTGGCCACAAACTGCTCCAACACAAAAACCATCCTTAGCAACGGCTACTTACAAATATTATTATTTATTTATTTACAAACTTCCCCAGATCCTGCCTACCAAACTTTACCTAACTATCTTCTGGAGCGTGCCGGGCTCGAGGCGACTTTAAAAAAGGCAAACATCAGCGGCCGAAACCCTGAATCGCCTGCCCCCAACAGGGAATAAATCCCCACCCAGGATTACCCCGAAAATAAAAAAGGCAAAATAAAAAATGAGTGCCTGAAGGAAGGACTGATTCAGTCCAGCTAGACACTCCCCTCTCTAAACTGAGGAAGATGTTCAACAGTAAATAATTTCACAGCCAATTCTACACTTATATACACTACTGCTCACCACCAAACACAATATCAACACTAACCAACAACCAAATACTCACTCTTTGTCTCAAAGATTGGATGAGCCCCCATGTTACGTTCCCTTGTAGATCTAGGGGTACCAAGGGAAGTAGCGACACACAAGATAGCCGGACGAGAGAAAAAGGAGAGGAAACTGAATGCTGAAGGAGTTTAAGTGAGGTTTTAATTAGTAAATAAGTAAGGCGGCTCACCAGCCAAAGTACAAAACAAACTTACAATAAACAACACACAACTATGCTGGGTCTCACACAGAGACATGCTGCACACATGCAGCCATGGTTGAGAAGGAGAGAAAAGGCCTCTCACTGCCGTCCTCCTCTGGTCCTATATGGAAGCCCTGATTGTCAATTAGGAGCACCTGGGGAGAGGCTGCACCTGGGGACAATCAGAGGGAGAGAGAGGAAAACACACACACACGAACACACACACACACACTACGGCACGTAACACTCACCATGACTCGCGCATGCAGGCACGTGCAAGGTTGTGGCATGACCACCCAAACAGAAAGATATGGACACAAGATGTGTGCAAATGTATTTAGTATCCTATCCATGTGAATATGATTTAAGTGGGGGGATGGACCTAACCTCCTCTTGGGTGGTCCGGGGGCATGCTCCCCCGGGAAGATTTTTTTAAAATGTTGAAGTTAAAAGCATCAATCTGGTGCACTTTGAGAGCAAAATTAGGAGATCTATGGATACATCTCTCAACATCGGAAACAGAACTGTAAGCAGATTTTCTTTTTCTTTATGGATATTTTACAAATCACTGTATTCTTGTTTATTAATAACAATTTGTTTTTACTGTCATATAGTAGGCCTATTTCATACCTATTTTTCATTTATTCTCTTATTTTTTTATACCTATAATGATCATATAAATGTGTGCCTTTACCTCACTGAGCTGAGGTTATCAGCCTCTCAGTCTGTCAGGAGAGCTCTCTTCCACCTGGTTGTAGAAAAAGCTCCTTATGATTTAGCATAGCTAGCTAACCAGATGCTAATAACAACAATCTCTCTCTCTCGCTCGCTCACACAAAATACGCTCGTGCAGGTCGTGCCACACAGCCGAGCTTGAGTGACACACAAAGACCCAGAAGTAGTTGTATTGTAATGTAGCATATTATTTTTGATGGCGTTATTGACGTATGACAGATGAACAGATCGCCACTGGGCTTACAACTATAATATAAAGACACAGCCTCGCAAAAACTGCGGCATGTGTACAGCTCCTTATTGGTAGCCTACTGCAATTTTTGAAGTGGCGGAGTGGCTTTCCGGTGCTCTCCGTCAGAACTACACCCCTTTCAGACGAGACATATACCACGTGATGACACGTTAGGCTCGTGTTGTGTTCAAGGCACCTATCCATGGCCAGGAAAAACAGGCACTCACTTGTTTAATTATTTTGCGGTCTAGATTTCTTTAATTTTTTTTTGCTTGTGTTATACGTTATAAATTACCTCAAGGGCCGTATCGAATGGCTCGCGGAACCTCCGGCCACCCCTGATCTAAAGTAAAAGACAGAGAATCAGCACTTTTGAAACAGGGCTGAAATAGAGGGGATTATGGGATGCTACAATGCATGATCTGTTTGGTATTTCGAGCCAAATACTTCAGAGACATGTTTTGTATATATCTGAGACCTATAATATATTGATGAAAAACAGTATAATATGGGACCTTTAAACAATTCTACTGGTTTAAATCTGCTACTGTATAAGTATGACATATACATGTTGGTGGAGATTTTATACAAGCAACATTTTTGGAACATTGCATACAAATGAACAGATAGAGTATCCACAAAAAATGCTCCAATGATGTAGGATACAACAGATTAAATATGTACATGGCATGAAATGTAAATAATTGTTCATGCAAAATGGCTAATTTAAACCTTTAAAATATGAAGAATTCCTGCTTTTCTTTCTTTGAAACCATATTACCCTGAATATCTTTGGGTTTTGGATAACACAAGACATTACAAAATGATTAATGTAGAAAACAATGGAACAGTAATGAAAGTATCCGATGGTTGCAGAAAAATATACAACACAAAATATGAGATTTTATACATCCTTCCACTTCTATGGCTCAATGTAGAATATGTTTCCATCTTATTATCTGCCTTCATGTGTCCTGTCCTTTTTGTTTCTGCAGATTTGGACCCAAGGAGGAATACATGTATTTCATGAATGAGTTCCTGGAGATGGAGTGGGGCTCCATGCAGCAGTTTCTCTACGAGATTTCAAACATGGAGGCTGGAGGGAACGCTGGAGGGTTTGAGGGCTACATTGACCTCGGCAGAGAATTGTCAATGCTCCACAGCTTACTGTGGGAAGTCATGGGCCAGCTTAGCAAGGTAGGTGCAATAACACACTGGGACATTACAATTAAACATTTAATATGATTTATTTCTCTGACTTAAGATTGTAGAGAGAGGAGAAGCTGGAAAATGAGTTTCTGCAGTTCTCTATCTATCATGCACAGGATGAATATTATTTGAACTCCATTAAAAGTGAGCTGGAATTACTGCTTTAATATTTAATATATTGCTCGCACTGTTAATTTATCAAAACTGCACGGTAAATGAAAGTTTAAATATATTAGGCTCGGCACTAAATTGTCTTAAAATGTTTTGCTTTTTGAAATGGCTGTGCTCTGTGTTTCATGAAAGACATCCTGTGTTTTATAAATGACATTGAATTGTACCAGTGACTCATGAATCACAGTGTATGTGAGTCCCTGGGTCACGGTCAGAGATGGGGTCGTTACTAAAAAAAAGTAATATATTACATATTACTTTAAAAAAAAGTAATATATTACACTACTTCGTTACTCTCTACATAAAGTAACTTGTTACTTTACTCGTTACTTTACTCGCAGGGCCGGCCCGCCCCTCCCTGCAGGCAGATCACGCAGACTGCTAAAGTTTCAAATGTTCTCTTTAGTTCAGTTTCCATTGTCGCATAAGACTGATCCAGATAGCTCCCTTAGACACCTCAAATAGGGATTACATTACAATACATTACATGTCACTTGTTAGACGCTTTTATCCAAAGCGACTTACATACTCAATACTGTGGGCAATCCCCACAGGAGCAATCTGGGGTGAAGTGTCTTGCCCAGGGACACAACGACATGCTGACTGCAGTGGGGTTTGAACCTGTGACCTCCTGATCCGAATACCAACTCACAACCCAACTCACAACCCACTGCACCACACGCCTCCCAGGGATATCTGCTAATTTTAAAGCTCTCCATATCCTAAATACTTTTAAAACATGTGTTCGCAGGACAATACATAAAGCTAGAGTAGGTCATCATGTTTACCTTTTCCTGCTCAGAGTTGAACAGCTAACACAATAAAATCCTGGGTGCAGGAAAGGTTGGGTATACTTCTCTTATACAGCATATAAGCATTTGGATTTCCTTGATTTCTGAAACCATTTCCTGCTGTAGGATGCTATTCTGAAACTCGGACCCCTGCCGCGGCTGCTGAATGACATCAGCGTCGCCCTGAGGAACCCGCAACTCCACATGCCTGCAAACCAGCAGCCGGACCGACCGAAGGACAGACTCTTCTCGCGGCCATCGTTCAACCGTCTCATGTCCTCTGACTTCCAAAGCCTTATGATGCGTGACTTAAACAGGTATCCTCCCATGGTTTCCTTTGTTATGTATTTCTATTGTTATTACTTCTGCTCGTGAAATGGGATTTACATGTCCTCAAAGAGTACCGAGCCAAGATCCTTCTAAATGTGAGCAGAGGATTGATCCCTGCTTTTCAAGACAATGTGCAAGGTCATCATTTCAAATGTGCACCACATTAGAAAGAAATAACAATTTCTAATGGGTGTAATTAACTGTAACACACAAAAAAAGGCCAAGAACGTACAATACACAGGGGCGCCGTAAGGGGGTGAAAAGTTAGGACGATTCTAAGGGCCCGTGACTGACAGGGGCCCCAAACATTTTTAGAACATTAAGAACAAATGTTTAAGTAACCTTTCATCAATCATCAATAATTAACATTAATATAACGTCATATTGGTAATGTACTCACTAAACTTACGATTCATTTAACTTATTTTCTTCCAAAAGTTAATTATCCAAAGCATCGAACACCCCCCTCTATTTACATGTAATGGTTTGGTCCTGCCTCCAAACGCTGTGCTGTGCGGCACCGGCCGTTTAGCAGAGAGTGAGAGCATTTGAGCAGGGATGCTAGTACTTACGTGTGTACGATGTCTCAACGACTAACAAAGTCAGGCTTTCAAGAAAGAAAAGAAAGGAGAGACAGACAAGAGAGAGGGACTAAAGGGTGACAGTATGTCACCCAGTTTTTCAAAAGAAAAGGTGGGTGTGGTCTATGAGTGGTGGGAATTAGTCTGTTAGCTAAGCGTAGTCCATTGTAAATAATAATTGTAATGTTTTGCTGACATTAAAGGTGGGGTAGGTAAGTTTGAGAAACCAGCTCGAGATACACTTTTTGTTATATTCCATGGAATGCTCTTAACATCCCGATGGCAATGAATATTTTAAGTGCTTTGACAAAAAATCCATAAAAAAATGTCATCTGTGGAAGCCGTGGCGCTGTAAAAAGCACGACCAATCATTTTAGCCGGCCCGGCTAAAAGAACTGGATGGCCTACCTGCCTGTCAGCCTTCCATCTGTGCACAAACTTATCTCGTGCCCTCATTGGTCATGTGCGCGTCCGTGTGTTGGAGGAGGGGCTCTGTAAGGAAGTGGCAGATTTTTTCCTGTTGTGTATTTTCAAATTCAAAAATTTCAAAATGACCTACCCCACCTTTAAGTACTGTTAATATCTTCACAGAAAATTCAGAGGTTTTTCATTTCACTCCTCTTTTAGCTGACATTTAATAAATGCAGGTACATTTTTAGCAGCTATTCATACTAAATCAGTTGTCCCTCCCCTGGTGCCAGGACCAACAGATTCATCTTTAGGCTCCGCAGCCCTGTCCCCCCCCATAATGCTTTGCAGTCTTGCCATGCTGTCCATTGAAAGCCAGTTGGTTAGAAAGCTGGACTTCAATGACTTGATCAGTGACATTGCCTGTAAGAAGGCTAGGCGCTGAGCTCTTGGTGTTAAGGCTGAGCCAGGGCTCGTAATAACTGTTAAAGGGCAAGGCTATGGTAACGATATTGGATCACTACACAGAAGATGCATGTTGAGAAAAAGACTGAGAACAGGTAATAGGCTCTGATTTAGCGCCACCATCAGGCCTTTTCACTTCCATTTCCGTTTTGTTGTCCATTTACACTTTAATACCCGTTTATTTTGTAGTTGGTATATTTAATTAAAAAATCTGCTGCTTATGTTATTTTTTTTGTTATAGCATTTTATAAATGATAATATTGGTGTTAATGTTCACTTTATTTTAATTTAAGAGGACATGTATATAAGTTATATTTATTTTGATTTTTGAATGTTCCATTAAAAAATGTTATGGCGTGGCCTGGGCCTGGTGGTGGGGCCCAATGTGATATCTTTTCATGGGGCCCAAAATCCCTGGTGGCGCCCCTGACAGTACATGACCATTTAGTTGCTCAAAACATTCATATTGTTGAAGGGGCTAATGCAAAAGCACCTCTTAAGGCTTTTTAAGTCATTAATCAATCAGTAATTGCCAGCACCATCTGTTCCCAGACTCTCTTGCCCAAACCTCTTTCTTCTGTGTTTCAATTAATGTCGGCACTTTGCAATTGCCACAAGACAGTTGCTCTAATTACAGAAATACTGTTTGAATAAGAACTCTTTAAGTAAGAGAAAAAGAGTCATTAATTTAGAGCACTTTTGGAATTATATTATGCCAAGCAGTAGTCTGTTGGAACACAATTTGCAGCAGTAAACATGGAAATGAACGAGAGACACTCAAATCAGCTGAATTCACACGTTTCAGAACATTATGCAACAGTTTCATGATACATCTTGCGAGGTTGTTGCAATCCAATAAAAATAGACCTGTGCATAAATTCAAATTGACAGAACTATTTTGTGTCTCTCATTATGAGGTGAGAATAGCAAGTTTATTTTTCATGTGAAATGCTGCGTTATTCTTTAGAAAAACATTCTTAGATATCATCTTTGATTAAATCACTCACACTGCAACGTCTTGCAAGCAATGATGAAGGGCTGAAATGAGATATTGCCTCATATTAAGGGGTCACGAGCAAAAAGGTGGTTGGGAACTTCCATCCTCTGCTAACACTTGTATTTCTCTACAGTCCATAGTTAAACATTAAATGGTGTAATAATAAACCCATCAGTTTGTAATGACTTTCTGTGTGTGTGCAGTTCAATAGACATTTCCCGCCTGCCCTCCCCTACAACGGGAGTCTCAGCTGTGGAGTCCCTATCATCTAATCTGAACATGAGACGCCATGCAGAGCGAGACCTCCGCTCGTCGAGGGAAGTGTTCTACGTGACCCGCCCGCCGCTGGCCCGATCCAGCCCCGCCTACTGCACCAGCAGCTCGGATATCACTGAACCGGACCCAAAGGTGCGTATAGAGTACAGTAGTTCTGTGAGATGATTAATGTCTTATTTCTTGTTTCTTAACCCTTCTCTGCAAGTATCAGCCATACATTTCCCATATAATACCATAATAAGAATGCTAGCATATTAGCATTATAAAATAATCTAGCATAATGTGACTGATTTGACTTTAGTATCACACTATCATCGACTCCTCACGGTGAGCACTTGATTGCTCTCTTTGTTTCTCATTGACTTGGAAAACCGAATATGGGTGAACTATAATTTAACTCGAGATCATAATAACAGGTTTTTGGTGATGTGTTATTTAATCATCAGAGCCATTGTCAAGTCTTGTATTCGATTTGATAAAATAGATCCTAGTTTTCCTAATTAATTACATAAATACATCAAAAGGACATTAGGTGATTGTTGCCTCACAAATGAATTAGTCATTAATAAACTATTATGAAAGTTCACGTGAAATCATATAGCATTTTTTAACAAGACACAATATAAATGTTAAAAAAAATAGTTGCATGTTTTTATTTCAAAAAAGAAGGAAAAGAAGCTTGAATTGAAAACAACAAAGAACAGAATGTATACCGAAGCTTGAATTGAAAACAACAAGTAGAGACTGTAAAGCGTCTTTGAGTTCATGAAAAGCGCTGTATAAATATAAACTATTATTATTAGAGTTTCTATATAACTGCCTATACGTGCTTTCTAAAGGCATCAATATAACTATGTATGACGTCCAAATGTTTCAAATTAAATTTAAAACCACAATACCAAAATTGACTGCACATAACTGTACTGTGTTTTTATTTACAACAACATCTGTCCAAAATCCAGCTACAAAAACGTTGTATTGTTTCTCTCAGATCCACAGTGTAAATAAAAGCGTGTCCATGATGGACCTCCAGGACTCCCGTATGAACAGCATTTCCAACCTCAACTCTGTGGGAGACATGCTGACCTCCTCTCAAGCCTCCATTGCCGGCCTGGGCCACAGCTTCGGGAACCTCTGCGGTCCCCTCCGGATGGGGGGGCACCTGCCGGCGGGCTCTGCGGGCTCCGCTCTGAGGCTGAGCCAGATGGGCCACATAGGGGGGCCCACCGAGTCCATCTCCCAACAGCAGCAGCAGGCAGCAGCGGCCATGCACTTCCCCCTGTCTTTCCAGAACCCGCTATTCCATCTGGCCGCCCAGGACTCCCCGGCTCAGCCTCAGCCTCACCCCCCTCCCCTCCTCCTCGCCCCAGAGCCCGAGAATGGTCACCACGACTATGCACCGGCTTTTGGCAACAGTGCTTTCTCCCGCAGCGAGGACTTGTCCGCCCTGCGGTCACAGAGCAGTCTGGTGCAGCCCAGCATCGTCCACTCACACAGCTACAGCGATGATTTCACCCGGCAGAATCAGAGCAACGACTACGCCTGGCACCAGCTGTCACTGCAGGTGCAGGTAGGAAACTCTCACTTATCTCCACACTTCAAATATCACAGAAAGACAGTCTGTAACGATATGCAACAGTCAGCTCTACTTACTTATTTTTTAAATATCTAAAATGTACAATAATTATAAAAAGTAATAATAATGATTCCGATAGTATTTGCAGCTATCAAGATGTCTGCTACTATTCAATGATTGAGACAAGACTGTCTGCCCACAATGTCAGTAACATTTACAAATGTACAAAATAAACTACAATATGATTTGACACTTAAATAAAAAACAACCTTTTTCTTTTAGTAAAAACCAGTTAAGATAAAGATGCTGAAGATGACAATGTGTATCAATATTTTCACTTTGCATAGATATTTGAATTTGATTAATATTTCATTTGATATCATACCTAGCTTTACCCTTTTATCCATACTGGTGATTCCCATAAAGAAACCTTGACTGGTAATATGTATAGATGCAACACATCTCTCCTGTAGGAATCTATAATTTAAGGTTTTGTTGAAAGCTGTGTAATGTTACACCTTCCATAGCTCCTCCTTTTAAAGGCAAACAGACAAATGAATAGATTGTAAACCAAACTCTGTAACAACGGAAAGTCTTTCTGCTTAATACTGAATAAAACACCACTACATCAGGAAAGACATTGGTATCCATGTTCGCACTGAGCTTTGGTTGAATAATACCCAGTATGGTTTTGTGGTTTAAACAGAGCGCCACTAGGGGGAGAACTTTCTGTTTGTCCATGAACTCACTTTGCTCTCTCCTTTCTGTTGTTCACTTGAATCTGTTTATGTTGCATGGATCTCAAACTGCCTCTATTTATGTTTAAAATAATTCAGATCTTATTGTTCATCTTTTGAATGTGTTTAGTTTATTTTTTAATACTGGCTGGTACCCTTGTTCTTGGTTGATTGGCTGTCAGACATCTTATAGTTTACACTAACTTCATATTACAGCATTCTGTAACAAAGGCTGTTGTTCAAGACAAAACAGGTAGCCATTTAAAACTTTAAACATTTTTTAGTGTAGAAATAAGGTAAAACAAAATTGCACTACTGGAATTCTCCTTATTTTTTAATGATATTTCAACACTAAATGGTTGTAATGTAAAACACAAAACTTGTTGGACTTCCTTTACTACAGTATTATCTATTAGTAGATCTTCTGGTTCATGTCCCTCATGTTATCTACTATTTTCTTCATTTAAGCATTTCTTAATTTCAATACAAACGCAGTATTTTCATCATCACTGCTGAATTGAAGCGAAGACAGTCGCAGCCAAGATAACATTTTTTCAGTTTTTCTTAAAAAATACCTGGATTATTTTTGATCTATTTCAGGACAAATTGCCTGATGTCTTGTCATTTATATGTAGTGTGATTTTAACACCGTGGTTGAGCTACAGAAATGTCCGTTAAACCCCAAGGGGACCCTGTTTTTTTTTTCCACGACACTGTGTCTCAGGGGATCTTAATATTTAAAAACCTATTAATGTGTTATACCAGATTAACGGAAATAATCTCAGCTAACTGACGATACAAACCATTTTTACCAAAACAAAACACAAGTCTCATAAAAAGCATCTAAATGACCCCTTAGCGAAAAATGCTAACGGACATTGGCACAGAACTCAAGATAAAAGTACCCTTAGATGGATGGATGGATGGATGGATGGATGGACTTTTATTAATCCCTCGTGGGGAAATTGTTTCTCTGCATTTGACCCATCCTAGTATTAGGAGCAGTGTGCTGCCATTTTGAACGGCGCCCGGGGAGCGTGGGGAACGGTGCCTTGCTCAGGGACACCTCGGTAGCACTTGGTCTTGCCGGGACTTGAACTGGTGACCTTCCAGTTGCCAAGCCAAGCCCCTATCGACTTCGCCACCACCGCCTTATTACTTATCGTAGCTGCACATACAAGATATCCGATTAAAGCTGAGGTTCCACAGATTATTTAGGTATATAGTATCATCACTGAGTGATCCGGACTCGCGAAGCAAATACAGACATCACAACATGTACCTTTACGGAGCTTCTAGGGAGATCGTTTCACCGCAGCTGTCAATCTGATCAAAAATACGTGTTCAATGGCATTAAAACGAGAAAAACGCGGCTGAATCGGTTAATCCATAGGTTTTTAACGTCTCTGTATAAAAAAAATGATTTAATTTATGATCCATAATTCCATTTTTATGTAAAAATCGGAGAGCGGAAATGTTAGCTGCTAATGGTAGCCAACAGAGTGGCTGCTGCTTCCGTTCTAGGCTATGCGGCAGTCTAACTCACACACATTACCAAATAAGGACTATGTGGGAGTTCCCCTCGATTCCATTGGCTCTGACGGTCAGAAAGAGATGTCACTTGTCAAAATCCAGCAAGGGGGGCCAGAGATATGGAAAATCCACCCAAATGGCCCCAGAAGAGGTTTTTTTGTGCTAAATCTGTCTAAAAAGGTCAAATATCACTTGTTTTGCATCAATCTTGATACAAGGTACTTATTATATGTTGTACTTTGGATTCCTAAAGCTTTTAGTCTACTAACCCATCATCCAAGGTTAGTTTTCACCAGGGCCGTTTCTAGCTTTTTGGGGGCCCTATGCAAGATGCTGTTTGGGGGCCCTAGTTTTAACTACAATGGGGGGGATTCCGAAGCCTTTAAAGGTCCCATGTCATGGCAATTTCCACTGATCATAATTCCATTGTTGAGGTCTACTAGAATAGATTTATATTGTGCAATTTTCCAAAATCACTTTGGTTTCTCATACAGCATCTCTGTAAACTACGTGTATTCACTGAATTTCACTCTCTGCCTTTAACGGCTCGTTGCAGCTCCAATACCTCCAGCCCCCACTCTCCCTGTGAGCACAGTGTGCTCTGATTGGTTGGGACGTTGTGAATCGAGCTGAGCTCCGTGGAGGTGTGGTTTCCTTGTTTAGCGATACACAGCGAAACACAGCGAAACTCACCCTGAGCACACACAAAGTCACAGCCGAAGTAAAAACAATAAGTGTGGCTTGATATTGAGTAAGAAAAAGGTTGATAAACGCTGTGAGAATGGGTCTGCAGAGAGAATTTCGCCGCGATCCCAACTGTCTGTTATCAGCCTGCAGCCAGGGAGGAGAGATCAGCAGAGCTGCATGCACTGAGTGTGTGTGTGAGGAAGTCCGTGGATTGGTCAATTTGGACCAATCAGCGGGGGCTTAACGTAACGGCTCCGCGGACGTAACGTAACGGCTCCACGGATTGGTCCATTTGGTTCCGGGTAACGCATGACATCATGAGTTACCCGGAAGAATCAATGGACAGTGACGTATCTCCAGCGAGGCGTTTTGGGGAGATATTTTCTGTGTTAGAGTTTTACTCGCTACAGGGTGTACTTTGAGGGTTTTGACTCTGCAGACCGTTTACATGCATAAAAACCTTCATAACACACAAGGGGACGGGTAATAACCGGAAAAGCATGACATGGGACCTTTAAGATGATCTGTGGAGATGCATCAATCTGTTACACTTTAATAGGAAAACAGGCTAATTTCACGAAAACCAAGCAATTGAAAATGACAAAAAATGATATTAAAAAGGTAAACAATAAGGCTCCTCTATGTCAATAAATGCAAGAGATGCAGCATTTTCTCACCTGTCAGCCCAACGATGATTTAATAATAATAATAATAATAATAATTTCAATTTATATAGCGCCTTTCACGAAACCCAAGGACGCTTTACAATGGGAAGCAACAAAACAAAAAGTAATAATAATCATACAGATACATAGGCTGATTTGGACTTTATTACCCCAAAAACCCAAGCCACAGTTTTGCTATCATTGCAGTTTAGTCGTGTTTATATCCTACATTGGATTTGTAAGCATATAATGCTTCACCGAACACTCACAGGAGGGGGCTTGGCTGTCTGCAAATAAAGACGGCTCATTTTAATTCTCCCCAAATATATTGAGGCTGAACCTGAACTTTGAATTATCTGCTCCCATCATAATCTTGGCGATCTTGTTAAAATTGTGAATGCAGAATTAAAAATACTATGTAACTGGTTTGAAGTTAATAAATTATCCCTTGATGTGGCCAAAACAAATGACATGTTATTCAATACAAAGTCTGAGAGTAGAAATGACTGCATTATACGGATTTGCAATACAGAGATAGAAAAAGTTGGTGCATGTACATTTTTAGGACTGCTTGTTGACGAAAAACTCAATTGGAAGCACCATATAAATTATGTACAGACTAAACTGTCAAAAACAATAGGTATTTTGTATCATACTAAGAACATTCTTGAAGAAAATATACTCTTTATAACAGTTTATTTCTCCCTTACCTTTAATACTGCTCCGAAATATGGGGAAACACGTACTCAACAAATCTACAAAAAATAATAACATCCCAAAAAAAAGTATTACGAATAGTCTGTGGTGTTGGTAAATATGAACACACAACTCCCATATTTAAAAAAACTCAATCTATTAAAAATTTGTTGAGATAGTACAGCTTAAAACAGTACTGATTATGCACAACATTTTCCATAACAAAATGCCTAATAACATTCAAAACCAGTTCCAAACCACAGCGTGAACATATGAATGTAAAAAAGGTCACTTGAAAATAAGTGTTCACAATGTTTATATGCAATTATGCATATATTATTATTATTATTCATTTGCCAAGTGCATTAATTTCCAAAAAAAGATAGTTGAAACTGCTATTGACATGTGCTATATCTAGTTTTCGTATATATATACATTTATTGTTTTCCTGCCCTAACTTTTATTTAATTTTTTCTCTTGTTTTCTTAATTTTTTTGTACTCCTTCATTTCTATACATTTTTGACGCAATAATGCCGCTGTATTAGGATGATGCACGGGAGGGCTACTTTCCACAAGCTATGCTTCAGCCCTCCCGCTTCTACTAATTTTGTTCATCTTTGTGTGTATGAATTAAACTTTTTTTGTTTTTCGGATGAATAAAAAAGCTTGGGGGCCCCCTAGTGGCCGCGGGGGCCCTATGCCCCCGCATAGTCCGCATATAGGAAGAAACGGCCCTGGTTTTCACTATAAGTACAACATATTTTTTGGACGGACACTATAATTTACAGTTTTTTACCATGTTCAATCTGAATTTTCTTTAAAATAAAATCATCTATATTGAATCTGACTTTTCTACATCCAACTCAAAGGTTTATCATTACTTTGAGAAAAAAGATTATTAATTTAACCCTTTTAGAAGGGAAGATATGGTAATTTGTTCTGGGAATGTCATTTTCGAGCCTGAAACCTGAAAAACAGGCTCGGGGTTTAACAGGTTAATGGTTTCACTCTTGCAGTTAGATCCTGCTTGTCTAGGAATTTGTACTGTGTTCAGAGTTGATTCACAATAAAGATGCAACGATGAGCCAAAAATATTTGGACGATCAATTCATCAGTAATTTTTCATGCAATATGGTAAAATGCTGTTTTCAGCCTCTCCAATATGTAGATTTACTCACTTTTTTATCGTAATAAACCAAAGCTCTTTGGGTATTGGACTGAAAAAAAACTTGGAAGATGTTTTACTCTTTTCTGACATTTATAACCAAACAATTAATCTAGAAAAAAAATCATAAATGGAGAGCAGATAAATCAATAATGAAAATCATTGTTGCACCCCCGAGTTTGAGGTTAAGGAACAAAATAAAACAGGAAATGCCCTCACAAGAGCAGTGCAATATGCAAATCTAACAGTGATTCATCCACTGCTTTTGATGGATGCTTGTAATTCTGCAGACAACAAACTGAAGCAGGATTTCTCACTGGTCTGAACTGGTGCTCGAGCAGGGTGCTCGACCAACACATCCTCACTCCCAGGTCTGCCTATGTTGACGTTATGTCAAGTCCCCTGTGTCGGCTTTTTCCAACGCAAGGCGGGGGGCCTTACCGTACATTTTCAACTTTCCGGGATGTCCATAGGCTTCTATATGGCTCCCTAAACGTATGTTGTAGACGACTTGAGATCGCGAGCGAATGCTACCCGCAGATCCATTCTCAACCTTTTTCTTACTCAATATCAAGCCACACTTATTGTTTTTACTTCTTTATTTTAATTGAATAATGTAGGACTTTTGTTGCCGTCAGTTAGGGGGACAGTAGGGGCTCAGAAAACTGAAATCTGTATTGTTTCATCGTTTTTTCCTTCTAATTTTGTATTCTTTTCTAAACCACACACTGTTTTTTACTCAACAATAACACACAATTATCCTTGTGTTTATTTGTTTGATTAATAAACACAAGTTGGAGTCCGTCAGGACCGAGGGTCGGAGCAGCTCATAGTAGTTGCTTTAGAGAATTTTACACCCGGAATTAAGTATTCTCTCCGCTTCGCTTGATAGTCCTCAAGCTCTGTGATTGGAGAGTGTGCTCCGAGGGTTACGCCGAGCGTCGAACAGCACTTGAAATGGGATGGAACCACGGCAGACTGTCCAAAACTGGATTTGAACGGGTCCACCCCGTCCCCCCTCCCCCACCCCGTCCCCAGAACTACACATGCTGGCTATTGTGTGTTTCGCAACATGTTCTCTATGGCACGTCTCTGCTGGGAGTTGTAGTTTTAAAAGACGTTTTCGTATTTCCCATAATAAGAAGTTGCCAGTATTAAACTGTGTACATCCCTGGAGGTTTAGGGGATAGGAAACACTCACATTTAAAACATATAATTAATAAATGGGTGAAAATTGCTTGTGCCCATAATGGGCAGCATTAATATATACCCACATGACAGCTAAGGTCAGAAGAGCTTTATTTAACAGCTGGTCTTATGTTTGTGACCCCTCCTGTTGTTAATTGATAAGCCTGAAACATGCACTTGTCAAAGTTCAGAGGCACATTTTGCAAATAAGGCAGTAGCCATCGATCATCTTAAGATAAGATATACTTTATTGATCCCAAGTTGGAAACATTTGCGTTACATCAGCATGTGTAACAGTTGTAAATATGCAGTGGTGTTTATTTGTAAATCATTTAGTATAATCACACAAATTCTGTGTTTTATATTTAATAATTCTGTGTTCTTTATTTATTGAATATTCAATACCTGACAAGGTCGGAGATGAACAACTTGGGTCACAGGTTCCTCAACAGTGCATTACAAGACATCTATCAATATGTGTGTACCTCCACCATTAAACTGTCGTATTCTGCACATTGCTATCGACCTATATTAACGTCAACATAGGCCTACCTGGGAGTGAGGATGTGTTGGCTCGACACCAATCATGCTGTGTGTCTTGTTTCAACAGGCTGGAAAACTAGCTGTCATAATTGTTGATACTACACATATCATTATATTATACATACTTCAACCCTCTGTGTACTGCATATACGACTCTTGAGAGTATAGCCTTGCTAGTATAAACTGACTTACTTTTGTTGAGCTTTTTTGTACATTCATGCATTTACAATTTGTACAATTACTGTCAACGTTTTTCTTTAAAACACATTAGTGCCCACATTATGAACTTTAATTAAACTGTCACTTGTTTGATAAAGTTTAGTTAGGATAATTGTGGTTTTGGAACAGCCTTTTGGTTAATCTAAGGCAGCTTCTTTAACCTTTGATGATGAACTCGGTGTCTGCTGATCTATATCACACTGGTTTACGACAGCATCTCTGTGTTTAATGATACAGTCATGTAGTCTCAAGCTATTTCTGTCCTGCTGTGTGGGCCTTAATGGAACAAACATCACAAGCCTCCTTTTTATTAATACAGATGGCGTGTCAGAACAGGGCATTATCTATCCGTCTATCCATCTCTACCTGACTCTATACTGCAAGCTACGGCAAGCTACATGTGTATTCATACATTCTGCTGTTTGTTCATTAAGCACTAAATCATTTAGAGGGATGACACATTTCTGACAGTCCAGACCTCTAAGATCCACTGGGACAGGTCTGTTTGTGTCCACAGAATCATAACAAAAAAACATCAGCATTCAGTTTTTTTGCAACACATACAGTATCTGCAACAAACCCAGGAAACCTGATGTCTGCTCCAATTCCAATGGTGTTTACTGAAGGCTTAACATGTTTCCATTTGCCACTAAATTACAATTGTATTTCCTTTATATCTTGCCCTTTCACCACAAACAGAGATGGCAAAAGTACACACATCCTTTACTCAAGTAGAAGTACGGATACTCGTGTTTAAAAAGTACAGATACTCGTGTTTAAAAATACTCTAAACTTCTTTACTCAAGTAAAAGTAAAAAAGTATGGGCTTCGAAATGTACTTAAGTAAAAGTATCCATAACTACCAGCTGTTTCATAGAGTAACTGGTAACTGTACCTCACTTTATATTAATAGAACATTAAAGATCTTCTATATCAAGTTGTAATTATGTCATTGTTAGCTAATGAATGTTTCAACACTTGAACAACAACCATTTAGAACAAGCAAAGAAAAAGTGGGGATATAAACGCCTACATTGTAGATTCTAGGGCGGCTACCTCTTCCTTGGAAACAACACAACAATTATTATAGTAATGCTTTAAAAAAACTGAATTGAAGTGAGTTATATGGTGAACTTTATTTAAAATTGTGGGATCAATTAATGAACAACCCAACTAAATAATCGTGTTTGTCTGTGTATTTGTTTGTGTCTGTGTGTGTCTGTTTGTGTGTGTGCAGAATGATAGAAGTGGAAATGAAACCAGGAAATGATGGATACACGGATTGTGTTAAAATCAATATGCACAATGACTAAATAATAATGATCACGCCACCAAACGCAGATTAAAACTAAAGTTACGAGCCTGTTTCGAAAATGTAAGAAGTAGAAAGTACAGTTATTTGTGTTAAGAATGTAAGAAGTAAAAGTAAAAAGTCGTTGAGTAAAGTACTTGAGCACAGTAACATTTTTTTTTAAGTGTACAATATTCAACAGTTTTATAATCTAACTTACCATTCTTACCAAAAGCTGAAAGGTCTACCTGTTCTTTTTGTCCACCTATTGAAGTCGCTGAGTGTAAAAAAATGTTTGTACTTTTAAATGATTCAGATCATTTCTTTGTTTGAAGGATGAATAGCCAGTTAAAGGTCTGCAGTGAATGTGTTTGTTGTCCGTGGTTCAAAACAAAAGGGCGGCAATGTGTTCTGCTGTTTGGCTTTGTGTCTTTTTGGATTTAACCACCTGGGCGCTGTAAAGTTGGATATTTTCATGCTCTACACAAAATGAACTTCAGTACACATTTGATTCATTTTCCTTTCTTTTGTCTATTTCCTCATTCTCTGCTCTCAGGAGTCTCTCCAGCAGCAGCATATGATGGGTGCCGCATCTCAGACCCCCACAGGGACAGGCACCCCCGCCTCCCTGGCCACACCACCCACCACAGTTCACCCTGTCCGCCAGTCATCCATGGCTCCGCCACAACACCTCAAGTCACAGCGGTCAATCAACATTCCAGTCACCGCCACACCTCCAAAAGTTCGCCCGCAGAGCAGGAACCTCCTCCTCGACTCTTCGGAGGGCAACTTCACCGGCAGTGGGCCAAAATTGCGCCATCCACGGCAGCAACATCAGCAGCAAAATGAGCATCAACAGCAGCTACATCAACAGCAGCAACTTCAGCAGCAACTTCAACAGCAACTTCAACAGCAACAACTACAACAGCAGCAACTACAACAGCAGCAACTTAAACAACAACAACAACAACAACAACAACAACAACAACAGCAGCAGCAGCAGCAGCAGCAGCAACAGCAGCAGCAGCAGCAACAGCAACAGCAGCAACAGCAGCAACAGCAACAGGAATCACAGCTGTCGTTGACTGACAGTCCTGCTCCCGGACTCCCTTACCAGAATAGCTCTGCCAAAGAGAACCAGGTCCCGCAGGCAGCGGCAGAGGAGTCAACAGACACTCCCACAAAAAACACCAAGAAGTCTCAACAAACACAATTGCAGCCGCCACAGCCGCATCTGCTCAAACCAGGCAATAAACAGGTCAATCTCACTACAGTCTCCTAAGTTAGAGCTTGGCGGTTCTTACATTACATAGTTTGCCATTACATTGACATGTTTTTAATGTATTACTAAAATGAAGATCTGAAATAAAGCGTTTTATTGTTTTTTGTTTCAGGGTTCTCAGTCGACTTTGACCACCACGGGCCTCAATGAACGGACAGTGGCCTGGGTGTCCAACATGCCCCATCTCTCTGCTGACATTGAGAGCCTGCGGCCGGACCGTGAGGGTCAGCTGAAAGAGTACTCCAAGAGCATGGACGAGTCCCGACTAGAGAGGGTCAGCGCATTTGATTTATTACCAGCTCTTTTCTTTCTATTAATAGGTGACAGTCAATCTGTTCTGCCCTATACTAGTAAATATCAGAACTATGACAAAATCATACATGAATTACATAATGGTGGCTGTTTTCTGGGATAAACAACTCCCACTAACTTTCCTATTTTTAGAAACACATGTATCTGCATTTAAATGTGTGAATGCACACATTTAAGATGACTTTAGTCCCAATGCAGCTTTGTATAGTCTTACCCATTGAAGCTTATAAAGGAAGCTGCACAACAGACCAGTGTCTTTATTGATAAAATTACTCATCATTTAGGAATATTTCTGAAAACAGGTGGTGACACAGGTGCATTTTTGTTTTAATTTTAGGCAAAAGAGTATGAAGAAGAGATTTTTACCCTGAAAGAGCGTCTCAAGATGTCTCATCGCAAGCTTGAAGAATATGAGCAGAGACTCATGTCGCAGGAACAGCAGACAAGCAAGATCCTAATGCAGTACCAGAACCGCCTGGACAACAGTGAGCGGCGTCTAAAACAGCAGCAAGTGGAGAAGGACTCTCAAATCAAAGGCATCATCAACAGGTGATAAGGGTTCAGGTTGAACTACAGCTGGCAGAAGTATGGCTATGATGCAACTAAGGTTTCTCTATTGCAACACATTTGTCACACACGTTTCTACTTAGTAAGGAAATTAAAACAAGCTTTTCAGTAAGTCACTCAAAGTGCAGCAAGTTATTGATTGCAGCTTTACAAGCGCGGTTTGAATGCTACAACAAAATGTATCTACAGGGGAATGTATACAGTATGCAAAAAAAGGTTACAAGTGCTGAAGGGCTTAATTAATCTGGTTATTGGTAGAAATGTCTCCATTTAAAGAAATGTTTTAGTCTGCTGTACATACTGTGACAAATCTATCGGTGGTCAGTGAAGACAGAAATATCAAACGGCAATATGTCCTGAAATGTAAGTTATTTAGGAAATATAATTGTAGTACATGTTTTTTTCAGTTAAATGCAACTTGCATGATTGTTATTTACCAATTTGTATGGTCTTATTTGATTTATTTATTTGATTTATTTATTTCTTGCTTGGAAGATACTGCTCTCAAGTCTGTGCGTGAGTCAGGATTTAGCATAGCTTAGCATAAAGACTGGGAACAGGGGGGAAAAGCTCATACCTTAAAAACCAGACCAACTCATTTCCAATCAAAGAAGCTAGCAGTGCTCGCTCCAAAAGTTTCTAAATTTAGCGAGAACATTAGCAACAAACAGTTTTTTTTTTCTGACAATTGTGCGGGGGTGAATTTTCATAGAACTCCCCCGTTTTGATTAGCTAGCTGTCTGCTCTGCTGCTGCACATGGGCCTGTTTCACCTTCACCAATGATGCCCATTTTGGGATTAACGACCAAGATTTCGAAGTTGGGTTCTCTGCTGAAATGCCCATTGTACGAGCCGTCCTCTTTCAGCTTCACAATAGTCCATATTTTATAAAGTCAATGTTTTAAATACATAATTTGAATGCAGCATAATAATAATAATAAAATAATAATATTCGCATAACAGTAGTGGGTGGAGACACGCAGTAGACTTTCCATTTTTCTTTTACAGATTCTTCCAGAAATGTGCATACATTCCTGACCTAAAGACCCACTCAACATGCTCCATTGTACCAGTAGGCCTACTGTGTAGTCGGAAACCCTAGTACCTTTAACACACAGACATGAAAGTCGTATTGATGTTATCATTCAACTCTCAGAGAGAAATCTAAAAAGCAAATCTAAAAATATTTAGACATTGAAGGTTAGTTCAATAGCAATAACAATAGTACTTATACAATCATACCATTAATGCTCATGCCATTACATGTTACAGGTAACATATACCTTTTTAAGAGATTGGTTTTATTGACTGTAGCCATGTGTACTTCTACTTCTGACCCAATGAAATGCTTAGTGCATTACATTCAATTTATCTTTGTATAACTGGAGTATACAGAGCTCACATCTCATCTCATTTGGTTGAAAGTCTCCTCGAGTTGAATTAAACTTTTCCTCTGATTACAGACACAGCAGATAGGCGCACACTTAACTTTCCTACACACATCCATTTCAAGTTGTGTATCTGAACAGCTGAATTTGAACTTCCCAAAGTGTCCTGAAGGCAGCTCAGATTCAGCATCAGGAAGCTCTGAGGATAGCTGAACACACACAGAAAGATGTCAAGACCTTAATATCATCATATGGCCACGTAATCTTAGAGTAAATTTGAAGAACACCGGCTTCGTAACTTTATTTATTTATTGTCAACCGGTATGCTTGTGTCTATTTCCCTGTTGTCAGACTCATGGCTGTGGAAGATGAGCTGAGAGTGGGTGCCATTCCTGATATTAAGCCTCGAATCCTCACTGACCAGGTTTGTGCCTGTGTCTACATCTTTATCATCCCTATTTGCTAAGCCAGTCATGTCCTAAAACAGCTTGCATCATTCTTACATCACATTCAGCGCATTTGCCAAAGCCAGTGCAGGGGAAAAGTTTGCAGCTGTCATACACTTCAACTGTTCCCATCTCTCTAAAGTACGTTTATGTCACATCTGAAATACCATTTCACCAGTTCACTGTACATGCTTGAGCGGAGAGCAAAAATAAGGATGCTAAAATTCAAGAGCTGGATGCAGCTTAAAGTTATGTGCAGCGATTAATGTATTTCTGGGAAGGAATAGCAAGTCTTCAACACTTAAACTCAATAATCTTTCCACAACTACAAAAATATGACTCAGAAGCATTCATCACTAGAAATCCTTGACTGTGACTCACCAGCTGCGTCATTCTGCAGGGCTCAGCGTCGTGAATGCACCATGTGGATTGGATTGTGACGAAGGTGAAGTGTGTGTGTGTGTGTGTGTGTGTGTGTGTGTGTGTGTGTGTACTGAAATGACAATTTTAGCTGTCACTGAAATACACAGTCACCTTATTTCATGACTCAATTTCAAAACCAGATAGAAGTTGCCTCTTTAAAACTCAGACCAAATATAGAAGAGTTTCTTCACTGCTCTGAGATAATAGTTTTTGTGACTTTTCAAACAAAAAAGAGTGTGAAGAGAATGCGGTCCAAACATTGCAGCCCAATTTAGAGTGTTGTAAAGCAGGTTTGGTTTGCAAGCGGTTTTTTTGGCTCAAACTTGGGTCAAAGCTATCAAATCGAATTCATCAGAAGCTTTTGGTATCATACTCCAAGTGTTGAGAAATGCTATTCCTTCAGAGAGTGTGGCAGAGTCTGGATGAATGTGTGAATGTAAACAGTTCTTTCCCATAGACAAAAACTGAGGATTCAAATTTAAAGGAATATATCAACATTTCGGGAAATATGTCGAGAATGCTTCCTTGCCAAGACTTATTCTGCGTTATAAACAATTTGACACGAACCTGTTCATCATGCTACTTCAAAATGTACAAAGAAATGCCTCTGAAAGCTCGAGCCCTTACTTGTAAACTTCATCTACCCCAATTTCATAAAGAAAGAGATGTTTGATGTAGACACAGTGCACATTTTAAATAGTTAGCTATAAAATATAAGGCAATTTAAAGTGTGTTTGCCTGTATTTAATTCAAATAATGTGTCCAATGTTATTAGAAAATTGGTTATGGTAAACTATCTCTGAAAGATTTCTTCTCTGCAGTTATTTGAGCAGACTGCACTGCTGTGAGTTTAACATTGTGTACACTTGCCAACGAAACAGGTTAGTGTGGCGTCGTGCACTATATGAAAGCTGGAGGTTGAAAATTGGACATTTCAATTGGGGAAATCTTGGCTTAATATGAGAAGAGTGTCACCACTCTCATGTCTGAATGTTAAATGTGTAGCTTGAACTAGAACTCTGTTAGCTTAGCACTAAGACCGGAAACAAGTGAAAACAGCTAGCCTGGCTCTGACCAAAGATGCAAGTACTAACATGGAAAACAACAATTTTCTGTTTTTAAGTGGGTTATTTGTTGGACTATTTCTTGCTCAGGAGCAGTAACTTCTCCAGTCTCTGCTGGTTGCTCCCAGCCAAGAAATGCTCCAGAACACGACACCCTTTAAAATGGGAGAAAAAAAAATCACACTTCGGTTTTGGTATGGCTTAAACAAACAACTTATAATGTGTTAATAATTAGCTTTAAAGGTGCTGGTAAACAGATTTTGTTGCCTTTGAACAGCAAATAATAAATAAGCTAGCCGTTTTCCTGTTAGTAGCTATGCTAGGCTAAGCTACATATTGAATCTTACAGACATGAGTAGCATTTTGGAGAGTGCTCTTTTTATCTAACTCCAGGCAAGAAAGATAATAAATACACTTCTAAAAATGTTGAACTATTCCTTTAAACCTGCGTCTTTGTAAAGCTGTAAATGGAGATAAGTTGTTTCTTCATCTGTCTTCAATCTATCAACCAGGGTTATGGCCATCCAGGATCCTGACTGTCAATACCAAAGTGACCAGAGCTCATGATGGTCACTCAAGTGTAAGAAGACACATCCTACAGAAACCAATGAAGAGAAGCCCTGCAGTAGATCCCGCAGGACCACTGGAGGCTTCATCTCACAACGTTCTTAAAAAACTTTGCACATATTAAAACTTTGCCTGTACCAGAACTTGACAATCAGTTTAGCAAGAGGACCAACGTGTGCAGTGAGTCGTCTGCACATTTTTGACCGAAAGATAAGCCAATGCCACACCAATGGCAATACTGAACCTAATGAGTCTATTTATTTAAACCGGAGAGTGAGAAGAATTGTGCAAAAATCTGGGAATGAAGATGGATTTATGATTTTCCCCGCTACAAACAACACACTCACTTCTCACTTAAGTGGCTGCAGACAAAATGTAGAAAAGGCTTTTAGAAGCAGAATATCCCCTAATGGTGACGCCAGTTTCATCTATATTCCTTGGATACAGGGCCCAACAAAGACCTATATTACTATTTGATCTGATTAAATCATTTAGTAACATGTTCCCGCTGCAAAGGTGGTTATCATTATGAATTTCACACCCTTTTTGCATCCTTCATATTACAGCCATCCCATGTGAATAGATGCCAAACGAGACTTACAATCAATGAACTGCTTTAAATACAACCTAGACCTGCTGTTGGTTACATTTTCCTTCGGTACACAGTGTAAAGCCTGAACTCTCAGTGTATAGAAAAGGTATTTATTGAAGCTATTCAACTTTATAACATTGAAACATTTACATAAATAATCTGGCATTATAATGTGTTCTGTTCACTTTGTATTCATAATATTAATCATAATAACAAAATTATATATATGACATTTCAAAACAATGATACAAAGTGCTCAATTAAACACCTGATGTGAGGGAAGGACCATGTGAAAATGTAGGAAAATGTTTAATCCATGATCCAAGGGCCTTTGCATTATACTTTGTATGCAATGCAATGCCATAGACAGGCGTCCTTTATTTCTAAATGGAAGACTTGCCACTTACGGCATAGGGCTGGGTATTGTTTAATAAATGAGTACCCTTACAGTGATACTGATACCAATAGAGTACTTAATTTGATACCTTTTTTATACTTCATTAGATACACATCCTGTGAATGGAAACATTCAAAAAGTTCAAATTCAAAATTGATTGATGTGGTTTTTTTTTTTTAAATGTCATTTATATTCCCAGTTTTTTTATTTCATTATCACTCCCTATGCATTTCAGCATGCTTAACTGCCAGTGAAATACTTCACTGGACTTCAGCACCCCACAGACTGTACGGGTACTAGCTGCTGCGTGGCCGGCCAATCACAATTCATATTTAATTGAAGCCTTGTGGTGATTGGCTATTAGCGAATATACAAACACATTTTATTTTTTTCAAAAAAAGGATCAGATGCAGGGATCCTAAAAGGTGATAAGTACCGATACCCAGCCCTATTTCGTGATAATATAGTCACATTGTATGAATGTAGTTACAGCTGACAGCAACCCAATCACGTCAGGGCCCCAACCCTAAAGCTGTGGTGTGAACAATCCGATAATGTGCAATCAAACCTCGCGTTCACATGTTTTCCTTTATTCAGATAGGACATCCAGATTCAGATCGCAGGTTAATTACGTTTTAAATGGGGTCCGGATCGGTCAGCCTCAGCTGCTTTCATTATTTTTATAATCTTTAATTGAAGTGCAATACTATATCCCTGGAGTGCCCCCCCTCCTCCTTTTAGGGAACACAAAGTACACTTCATCTGTTTAACATCGTCTTTAAGGAAAGTGATGTCATGAGACACATCTAATGGATGATACTGACAGCTCCTCTTTAGTTGACAGCTCATAATGAATGTTTGTCTCATGGACCGTTGCATCTGAGAGACAGTATCTAAAGGGTTTAGACAGGGTCTAAAGCCTTAAACTAACCAAGCGTCAAAAGTAATAAATCAACTGAAAAATAGATCAAATCATGGCCTTCATTTCTGCCATTTTCACGATATATCTTTTTAGCCCTTTCATGATTTTGTTGAACAGCACTTTGTAACATTGGTTCGAAAAGTGCTGTAGAAATACATTTTTTTAAATTACTATGATTATAAACATTACGTGCAACTGGAAACAAATCATATTATAGCAAGTAGTGAATTACTCATATGTTGTGTTTAATGTTTCTAAAGCATTGGTGTGCAACAGTTCTGCATGTGCTTTTTAAATGCAAGGACGAGTAAGTCGATTTGTTGTCAGATATTATTCGAATGTACAAACAAACTTTGACATGGCTTTCTTATTGGAAGGCAACCTTTTTTTATCCAGCCTGCTAACTCTTCTGTTTTTTTCAGAAGAGGGTGGCATTCAGCCTTTTGCATTATACAACATGAAAGTACTGAGAGTAATGACATGAAAACAAAAAGCGACAGTGAAAACAGCAGAACAATAAAGAGTTTCCACGCAGGGATATGTAGTATATGTGCATAGGATTTGACTGCCTTACAGTCTGTGCCACAGGGCCCAAAATAACAATGCCAATACAAAAAAAACATGTACACTTTGTATATTAAATGTCCTTTTTTGTAGTCAGGTGATGAATTACTAAGCAGTGTGTTGGTTTACTCTGTATGTTCAGAATCATTTATATTATACATTCATGGATTGATATAATTTATCTTAACCTCTTGCCTTTAAAAATACATTTTCTTTCAAGATAAATAGCAAATTATACAAAGTTATATGTTTAGGTTACCAGAAATGTATAAAATAGCTTAATGTATATCTATTCTTATATGTAAAATGTATTCAAATCAAGGGTAGGCCTTCAGGCATGTTGAACTTGTGGTAAAAACAGATTATTATATTATAAACTCTTAATGCTGCAATCCAGAAACTACAGTGCTATGGTGTGACTGCGTTCATCGGATGAGAGCTAAATAATTTCCTAGCATAGCACATTTTTGTCCTGTGGAATAATAAGACACATTCTTAACGTATCTCGCCTATGTTTGGGTAACCAAATTAGCAGTGGTGCTTTCAACAATACTGGGTTGCAGTTTTAAGTAATCTTAAAAAAAAATGCATTTTATTTATTTGGCCTGCATTGCAATACAGTATGTTGAAATGTTATACTGCACTTCTGTTTGCATTGTATGAGAAGCTGCAATCATAATCTGAGAGATGTTTATAAACACATACAAATCTATAATATGCCCATGTATTCTTATCTTTGTGTTAGCTGCAGTGGTGTGCTACCTCTGAAATCGTTATACCACAATCTGAGAGGATGCTTTATTCCATGTGGCTAATAAACCTTAGTTAATTTAAGAGACAGTGCTAACAGAAAATGTTTTCTTTGCTGGTTGCTGGTTTATTTAGGATTTACTATGTATAATATTTGTCATCACAGGGCCATTTCTAAAGTTTGTCCTGTTTACTATTGTATTTAAGTGCCGTTACCATTACATTCATACACATTTCCTTCTAAAAAGAGGATGAGATTAATCGTGTTCCTGGTATTTGTCTGACTCTCAGGTGTTACAAGGAACAACAAATATTGCCAACAAGAACTTTTGATATGTAAAATGCCAAATGTACAAAAGTATTGAGACACAATCTTTGACAAGTGACCATTACATCAAAACACAATTCAAAAAAAGAACATGAAATAAGGGGTCTGTGCTGAGGTAACAATTCTGCTTTTATTTTGCTTTGTTCCCAGCCCACATCTCATCCATATAAATAGTTGATTTTACACCTTCCCTTGTATTATTTGTTACATAAAAAGGGAACACGAGGATGGTTTCTTGGCCCAAATGAAAAATGCGACAAATGCTCCAGTGTTATGAAACAGGAATATAATTGAAGTTACTGTCGAAGAAGTGCTTTATGTTTACACATGAGATTTTAGAGGATGTATGAACCTTTGTTGACCCAGAGGAAAATAACTGCCGCTCCGCTGAAGCTAAAGCAGGACCTAATTAATCAAATGAGATATCTTGTATATTTTGAATAAGGGTATTTAACAGCTAACATATTTATGTTTCTAAAATGGATGTATATCATTATGGAATATAACAAAGTATTTTTCTTGGCAGCTATTATTCTGCACAATTGATCTACTGTGTCACAAATATAGGTGGTGGGGTTTCTGACTTGAATTGGGCCTACTGGATGTAATTTCATTTATTTGACATTTCTTTTTAAATAAGCCATGCCCCATGGATAAGCCATACCCTCCAGCCCCCTGATGTTGTATGGTGGATGTTTAATGTTGGTAGTTTTATTTATGATGGTAGTTATGTAGGTATGATTGCGCTTGTAATTATTATTAGTGTAAGTATATTTGATTGATATGATTTGTTTGAACAAAGGGAATGTATTCATTTCAGGTGATTTTTCCGAGTGATTTAAATAAACTAATAAATCCCGAAACTAAAGACCTTTCATTTTGAGCACCCTTGAATGCAAGGATGGTTACATTACTGTTTATCAGGGTCGCAATCATCTGTAATAACTCTAGAATACTAGAGTATGCAAATAGTCCTATACGGGTTCTCAAAAGTTTGATGACTGACTGCCATATTAAGCTAGGCAGTGTTTGATTGGTCTCACAGGAAATGATGCCACTCGTAGTCATGCAACCAGAAGCTACAAGCAGTCATTCCTAACCTGACAGACGCAGTACCAAAGTAATGTAACAATGTGAGCTGATAGAAAGAGAAAGTATTGAAATGGGCCTGAAGAGGAAAAGTCACATTCACAAACTTTTAATGACTTTGAATGGCATATGACATTTTATGCCATAATATATTATTATATATTTTGTAATTATTATACCATGACGTTTTTTGGACAAACTATACTATGACATTTTTAATAGGACTTTTCATGCCAAAATAAAGTTAAAAAAAAAAAGTCATACAAGAAAAGTCAGTTAAGTGTTGCATGAAGTCACCAACTTTTTTGTGTGTAAACAGTGTCACAGCTCTCTGACAATCAGATGTATTTGTCTTTTTAATACATTACATGTCATTTGTTAGACGCTTTTATCCAAAGCGACTTACAGTACTGTGGACAATCCCCACAGTAGCAATTTGGGGTGAAGTGTCTCGCCCAGGGACACAACGACATGCTGACTGCAGTGGGACTCGAACTTGCAACCCCTGATTCGAAGTCCAGCACTCTGTCCACTGAGCCACAGCCGCCATAATATTTGATATGACATAAAATAAATTATACAAAAGTAATAGCACGGTATGCAATGAAAAGAGTCATACATACATCACTGCATAGTATGCCATAAAATGATATTGCAGGTACTGGCAGACAGGAAGACAGACCAACATGGTAATATGTGTTAGTGTAAGCTTCTCTCAGTTTTAAAGTTGAGAAACACCACCATCTTGTGGTCTACGTGGATCACAAATGGCAGCATTAGCAGCAGTTGAGGATGCTGCCATAATATTGGATTATATATATATTCAAATGTAGAGTGATACAATAAGCTTTTATGTACAAAATAAAAGTGCAACATTTTAAAACAATTTAAGCATTTATTTAGATATTTTAAGTATTTAATCTGTTACAACTAAATGCCTGATAGTGTGTTATTTTACCCTTGCAAAACACTTTACCACAACAGCATTGAAATCCATGTGCTTGAAATAATTGTACATACAGTATAATATAGAAGCTTTACTGCCGTTAAAATAAGGATAATTGTTGTTGTCTTTTAGTTATGAAAAGTTAAGTTTGGAAACTTTTAATTTAATTTAACAATTTCTACTGGAATAATTGAAACAAAATGTGTTCAAACCTGGACAACACAAGCACAATCCAGACATACAGTGCAGCAATATTAACTAGTGGTAGACATTTGTACATGAGGTTTATTTTTAATACAACACTGAGAAGAAGATGGACGAGAAAATGAATAGAACGGACATATTTAACAACACATTTCTAGTGAATTTTTTTTTGTTTGTTTAAACAATTTCCCCCAAACAAGACTCAAGTGGTACGGTATTTTCAGACAGATAACACCGTAGAACACAAGAGCCACAAGAGCTACGGTGAGTTTATGAAGCAGCTTAATCACAACAAACCAGAAATATATATATACTTACGTACTATACATCCTCACAGGAAAACACAGGTCCTTCTGAAGCACCTTAAGAAAAACACCCTATGTTTGTTACTTTAAACTAAAGGCGAGAATAATTGTATCATTGTGTTTACATGGTGGACACCACTGTTGGCAGTGCCGTCAGAGGGGCGTAACTCTTTGAGTTGGTCACAATTGTCTCACTGTACATGTTATTGAGAGGGATGGCCAGCTGCCCAGTTTGATCCGACCCCTCCTCAGAATTAATGCCATAGGGCACCTTGGACATGATAGCAAGGCTCAACTTGAACAGCACGTTATTGAGAGCCACGCGGTACTCCTTCCTCACCAGACAGTAGATGACAGGGTTAAGGCAGCTGCTGGTGAAAGCCAAGCAGTTGGCCAGGGGGAAAAAGTACGTTTGAGCCAAGTAGAATGAAGGGCTGATATCAACGATGTCAAGCTGGATCAAGGCACCCCAAAGTGTGAGGAGGTTGTAGGGTAACCAGCAGGCGCAGAATGAGAGCACCACCACTGCCACAGACTTGGAAATATCAGCCTTTCGCCGAGAGTTGCTGCCCTTCAGGTTATGCCGACAGAGGAAGCGCAGCAGGAGCAGGTATGAAGTGATGATAATGGCATAGGGCAGCAGAAATCCCAGCACTAGTCTCAGAAGCTGGTTGATCCCAAGCCAGGCTGTACCATCAGGGAACCGGAGTAGGCATGTTGTGTCGTTGCCCACACTTCTTACTTCTGCAAACAAACCTCGGGGCATCGCTGCTATGAGTGCTCCAGCCCAGATAAACACTGTGGCCACCCGAGAAGTGCAAGACCTACTGCACAGGGAGGCGCTGGGCCTCAGAGCAGTAGCCACAAAGCAGTACCGGGTCAAACTCATTGCTGTGAGGAAAAAAACAGCTCGCAAAGGCATTGAGTGCAGTGAGTAAGGACACAGCCTTGCATGTGGCCAGGCCAAAGGGCCAGCTGTAGTCCATTGCAATGTCTATGGCCCAAAAAGGCAAGACCATGGAGAAGAGGAGTTGGGCCAAAGCTAGGTTGAACACAAAGAAGTTGATGATGCCTGTGGTGATGGTGTGAGTCGAGTACAGCAGGAACATCACAAGCAGGTTCCCCAAAACTCCTGCTGTAGCCACAACAAAGTAAACCACAGAGATGAATATCCGTCCCCAGGGGGATCCATCATCATCAAAACCCTCCAGCCCAAAGTTGAGGCTCGTGTTGTGAAAAAACAGGTGGGAATTATTACAGTAAAGGCCTCCAATGCAACCATTCAGGATACTGTTGAAAACATCAAGTCTCTTTGAGTCACTGCTTGACATTTTGCTTTCTTAAAAATAAAATCCTGTTGATGGTTTAACTGCTTTTATTTGCAATGTTTATCCTTCTTCTGCAGTACTGAACTAAATATGTAAGTTCTGGTTGTCTGTTTATTAGCAGGCGGTCATCAATCCCTGCAAGGAAAGAGGAAATGATTATTGCATAATAGGCGCTGCAGTTCATGAGCAAATAAGTACATTAGCCTTGTCAGATAAACAAATTACACTTAAGTGTTACCCACAGAGTTAGATAATTTGATTTAGACCTCGAAGAATCAAACTTCTCTGAGAGGAAACATGGGTAAAAAGATAAGGTGATTTAACTAATTGACCCTTTGAAGTTGAAAAGCCAGTCAACTCTCCTGCAGTCTATTTTTATCATGCAATAATATCTATATAGTCTATACGCTTTAACTATATCTAAGTGTGTGACTATTTATTCAAAGTATTCACAAAAACAAACAGTATACATGTTGGATTTGCAGACATTAGATGCTTGTAGATTCAAGCATTATATATATATATATATATATATAATGCTTGAATCTACCAGGGAAATGGCACGTTATCTCTCCTTTAGCAAAATAACTTGTTGAAATAAGAGTTTTAGTTGTAATGTGTAAAATCTAAAAACCCATTTGCCCTTGCACTTTATCTAAAAAATGTAAATGTGAAATTAAGGATATTCACAATCCAGTGTAATCTTAATATTTAGAGAATACATACTTAGATGAAGATATTTTTTACTCCTTTAATACTAACATTTTACACGATGGTTTTTTATTCATATCTCTGTAGATGACGAAAGTCAGCCAGTCTTTAAGTACATTTAAAAGTTTGTATTTTTTAACCCAAAACAGAATTTGAATTTTTAACTGTGTGACTGTATTGAACAAAAATATTGGTTATTAGCAAAAGGCAAGGAAAATATCAAAGTTACTGCTTCAGATTTGGATTCAAAAGTAATTAATTTAACACTAACATTCTCACATCTGAACCGTTTTTGTCATCAAAATGTGCAATAATCACTTGGAAACAACCAGATCTGAGGCATTTGCCACATACAGTTATACTAATTAAATGTTCCACTAACAGTGTAATAATCAACCAACTAAACTATTTAAAGTTACAGAGAGATAGCAGATGTGATGTGTTCTCTTTTTGAATAACTTCCTTCAGACATAAAACTGTAAACTAAGTATAGTGATTGTAAGCAACTTTAAGGTAAATATTCACATTAGCTGTCACATTTCTGCACATTTATTCTAAGCTAAATGGATAAAAACAAATCTTACCTGGAGGTAATAAGGAGGTAAATCTTCGGGCTGCAACAGCTCTTCTGCCCAACATGGGATTATCATGAGGGTGGAAAACAACAACAATGTGGAAGACACCCACCCTGAATTCAGGCTCCACCCAATCATATTTCCTCTCTGCATATTCAGACCAGATGTCACATGCAACAGAAACACTAAAACAACAGAGATATAGCAAATACAAATAAAAATAGTTTTCTTAAATTGACTGGATTCCGACTTGTTTTCCATTCCCTCTCCACATTATATCTACTAATTTGTACAATAAAAACAAGTGATAAAATGTTCTTTATGATTTGTGTTAAAGGAAACAAAAAATCAACAATTTGTTTTTTTAATAACAGTTGTCTAGACATAAGCTGAAATTCTAGATATCACTGTCATCACTCTTAAATGCATCATGCAATTGAGAATACAGTTAGAAAGCAATTGTGCAACATTTGTCGGCACTCTAACCTTTAATTGTAACTACAGCCACAGTATAATTCAAATGGCCATATCACATGAGAAAAGAAAATATCACCTGGAAAAAGGCCTAACATTATTCTCTCTGTGTGCTGCGCTTTGTTAAACGTTGTCCCTACTTCCTTCTTCCTTACTGGAGCTCATACCTGCTGTGTTATGCAGCAGAAAATGTAGTGTTACTGTCGGTTGGTTTTGATGTTTGATTTGAGTTGGTTATAAAGCCCTTTGTAACATTGTGTTTTGAAAAGTGTCACGTGACAAAATTAATAAGTAAGCCAATTGGGTGCTTGTTTGTTTGCTTTGTGGCTGCATGTAACAATATGCTTATCATAAAAAGGCACTTCGACCTTACAAGCAGGTGAAAGTTCTGACAGGACTTTGACAGAAAATAAAAATGTATCAAAGTCTGTTATTTTTCTATTTATATCTGGGGCGTTGCTTCATGATTAGATTGAGAAGCAGAGATGATTCTTCATTATAAATCGTTGATAGTGGAAAGAACATCAGCTGCAAATGACTAAATGAGATTAGTTTGGAATAGGCGGAAGAGTGGAGAAGTTGATTAATGCTGGTCTGTCGAAACTGAGCCATCTTAATACACTAGCTGAACAAAACATGCTTTGTTCATGATTTCATTGGCAACAGTGTGATACAGAAACAAATCATTAATTACATCAAAAATATGTTCCTCTGTTGCGCAGATGTTTTGATCGGACAAAGATCTTTGCATCTACTGCACAAACTGACTGATTAATTACTGCCTGATATCAACACAGATTTTTTTTCAGATTAAATAAATAAATAAAGAGATACAGATCTGTTAAATGTACTCTTTTGGCATCCACATTGTTCAGCTGTGTTCCGATACAGCATCAGCTTTTTGTTTGATGCTTGAAGAAATATGAATTTTCCTATTTAATTTTCAAGATATGTTTGTAAACACATATCCTCAACAATAACTGTGAATGACAACCAAACACTATTTCCCTGACAAAGAAAAGCAAAAAAATAAGCAAAAAGCCACCTTAAATGTAAAAAAATACACTACTAGACATGAACTATTCCAATTGGCACCCACATTGTGGGTCAGTGGTGTTAACAATTCCGGATGTATTTTTGCACAAGACAAAAACGTGGTGAGATGTATCTGTTCCAGGTCTATAAATGAGTTAGATAATGGAGATCATACTACACCGCATGCCAGATGAACGTACTGCAGTGATGAAGCTTTGTCGCCACCCTTTGTAAAAATGAGAATACAACACTTCACTGTGCCAAAAGCAGGAGGTCTGAACAAGCTTCTTTCAGTATGTTATATGCTTTCTCTGAAAGTGAGCCCTCTGGTGACAAACACATGACTAACAACAAGCAGCAGCATTTACTCTTGTAAAGAGAAGGTGCTAAGGGAAGAAAAACACATCATCCATAAAAAAGGACAACACAAAGCCTTTCTTTGAAAAGTATAGCAGAGCACGTTTCTAACAACAGGTGCATTTCTTTAGAAATCTATTACTTTATGACCTCACCCTTTTGATTTGAACACTTATTTCCCATTTGAAATCCTAAGGCTGAATGGTCAATGATCCTCAGATTGGACCTATACTGGATGCCCATTGCACATCAAGACACACACAAAATGGTTCTATGATTATCGAGAGGCCAACAAACAAGGTTATAGCTGTATTACTTTTGGTTCAACATGTATACATATGTAAATAAGTTGGTTTTGTTTTTTCCTGTGAAAAGTTAGGGGAATAAAATGTTTTTATTTTGTTATTGGTTATAAAGCATACTTTCCTTTACATTTCCCCTAGTGCTTATTTTTTTAAGCATATAATTCCCTCTACAGCAGAGCAACATAATACTCATAGTTGGCATGGTAATATGTAAGCAACGGAATAATGTACATTACTGGATTATAATTAGTGACATAATATGTTCACATCAAATGCTGCAGCTGCTAAAGGTAAACTTGGACCCCCTGTGGAAGAAGGGACTATCATAATACCATGTGATAGTGCTAAAACTGTGCTTTAACTTTAGCTGAACTTTTTTTCATAAATGTAATTTATTAAAATTGTAACTAAGTTACTAACACATATTCTGTTAATGAAAACACAAATGTTGAAATCTTTAACACTTTTTGTACCTCTGATCAAATAACTGGTACAATTGGTCAAGAACCGCCACTGGAAATATCACATAAGGTTTGAGTGAACTTTGTCCCCTTTATAAATGGCTGAGTGTTTAAAGAGGACCACCGATTAGAGGCCATTCACGTGTTAATATCCTCGAGTAAACCAACGTTGATCTAAAGATAAGTGTCCCGCGCGCGGGCACTACTGGTCACCTTTCAGCTCAGTGTCAGCGCGCGCACGCAGAGATCATTCGCGCGGCTTGTTATTAACGTTAATAACGTTATCTCTCGCGTCACTCGTGTCCCCATCGCAGCCGCCGCTGCGCAGGAGGAGGAGGACGGGAGGTCCAGGTGCACCGCTGCTGAGATTGAAAGACAGGGGAAGTTTTTTTAACCTAAAATAGATGAACCGTTAACTGACGACCTGATTTGTCGACAAGTGTTCATCCTCCAAACAAAGATCGCCATCGTTTGTTTGTTTTTGATCGGTGATGGGATTCTTGCAGGAGCGACCTGCCGCCTAACGTTAACCCTAAGGTAAGAAGCCTAACGACGGGTAACTAACTGAAGATAGTGGGGACAAACCGGGTGGGATGCTGGAGGGGCTCAGTCCGCTTGTGGGTGTTCTGTTTCGGAGAGTTTGTGTGGGCGAAAGTTAAGTACAACGGTTCGTGAGTGAGTCAGTAATATGGATGTCAGTTGTAGTAAAACACTCGGCCAAGTGTCCTCTGGGTCTCGTGCTGGAGCAGCTAGCGACAAGTCTCCCCCATCACCATTATCGGGCTATTATTACTATCTTTACTGCGGTTTGCCACAGCTGTGAACAGGCTAGCAGTGGACATTGTCAACGCACGCAAACTTGTGGTAAGTGAGTGCAAATGGGACAGACAACAAGGCTGCCATTGTACCAGATCAGCGGCGGATTAACGGAATTCCTTTTCTCTGCACTGTCTCAATGGCCTCCAGTCTCTCTTTCTCTCCCTCTCTTTGCCTGCTTCTGTGGAAATAATAACATCTTGATTTCGAGCTTCTTCCACCTCTGGCACTTGTTAGTAAGAGTAAAACACCTCTCGGCCAGCAGTCACTAAACCAGAGATATCCAATTGATGCATTGTGAAACATGTGGATGGGTCAGAGCTGGCCAGTAGATTGTTGTGGTTATTGTTGTCAGAGCTGGTAGATTAGGTGATAAGTAAACTAGAGAGCTGCAACTAACAGATATGTTCGTTATTACTTAGTGATTTAGCCTATATTAAAGTCTGAGAATAATGGGAATACCTGCCACAATTCCCCAGAGCCTTAGGTGCCATTTTTGTCTGACTAACAGTATGGAAAAAAGGCATTCATTTACAATGGCATAACAGAAAAAGGGTAATAATGCTTGCTTGATAAGTGTCTGCTAAAATGAACCAAATATTAATATTGTTGGGAGATTAGGTTTTTGTTAATCAAGTAATTGTTTCTTAGTATTCAGCAGTGCAAGGTGATGCCATTAGTCTTTAAACCCTGGATGTATGTAGTTAATGAGCTTGAGTGGGGTGAATATGTGTCAACTAGGTCTTCAGGGGGTTTGTCTGTCCTGCTGTTGTCTCATGACTGATCATCAATGTTAGCACTGAGGGATCCCCTCCCACAGGCAATTGGACATGTTAGAGGATGTAGCTCTTTTATGTTCTAGCACTGAAAGACAATAAACAAACACAGATTGTTCTATTTCTTACTCCTCCAGCCCTCCCACCCTTCTTCTATACACTTGCACATCATGCACAACATGCACCATCCCCGGCTCTCCCCCTTCCCCCCGTGTATGTGGCCAACCAACATGTGGGGAGGTAATCCCAGCTATTAGGGTAATCTCCTCAGCATGACGATCAATAGGGGAGGGTGTGCGACGACTACCAGACAAGAGTAGCAGGGGGACCAAATTTGTGGTAAAGAAAAATGATTTAATCATCTAGATTAGGTCAGGAGACTGGGGTCTGGTCAGGGGCTTGTTGCTGGGAGGGGGAGGGGTGCAGACAGGAAGATGTGAGGGGTAAACCCATCTCCACTTTGGGCAGCTCCCTTGTGTGACAATGGGATGAGACATTTTGTTCTCCTTAATCTGGAGTAAATGGAAACAACAAAAGGACAGCTTCTAATAGACAGTGCCAAACCCATTATGGGACTACAAGAGCAAACATTTGTACAAAACTACAACAAATATATTGCACAAGGACAGATTAGCCTATAGAAAACCCAAATCCCACTGCTTGGCTTTGTTAACAGCATTTATTACAACAACAAAAAAGGCCTCAAGGAATTGAGGAGATGACCGACCCCAATACATTACATGTTGGGTCTTTTAGCTCCTGTGTGGTACCTCAAGCAGAGGACATTGTAAAGAACCCCAGGAGATATGGCCAATCAAAACAGGTCAAAGTCATTATGCTGTTGTTCCTG